TTACTGACTCTGCTTTGTGCAGAAATGAGTACGTGTACTGTAGAAGAGAAGCTTTGGTGTGCCACATCACAGGTTTAAATGGGGAGCAATGTTCAAAACGATCGGATGCTGTGTGTGAACCTGACAGCAAATCTTTGGCTCCAGCAAATCTCACTCGGGTTAGCTGATCGCCAGCAAAAGGAATCTTCATTTCCCTCATTGGGTCATCGTTGGTGTCTTGTCTGTGTGCATTTGTCTGGCCAGGTGCTGCAGGTCCTTCAGGAACTGGTGGATTGTCAGTGTGTGGTATTTCATCTAGCAGCCCAGCCTGAACATAGATTTCAGCAATCCACTTTTCGTAAGTTCTTAAAATGTTAACACAATCATCATACTTTGATTCATTTGCATTGATTATTGGCAAACTAACTATGGTAGACTTCTGTGCCATTTGTAGACTGTACTCATGAGAAATGTGATTGGGGATAACTGCTCTCAAGAACTTAAATTTGGGACAGAACTCAAGAACAATTCGCCCAACAATAATTTTGGCACATTCTGCATAAGTCTTCCATTCATTTACATTTAAGGAAAAATTATGTCGACGGAAATCTTTAATATCTCCTCTGGGGTTGTCATTGGGCAAGTGGTTGAAGTTGATTCTGTTTTCGATTAGGTTACTGGCAAACAAGTGCAGATCCTCATTCTGGACTTCCTTTCTCATATGGCCTTTCAAAATTTTCAAATCCCAGTTGTCACCAGTACTTCGGAACACACTTCCTTTCTTTATTTTTGTCACTACTATGTCTGAGAAGTGGCCTCCTAACAGCTTCAGAAGGGTATCTCTTCTCCCAGATGACAGGCATACACCAAGTTTATTTAGTCGTTCTTGGAGCTATTTAAAGGGAGACAGAATTTAAAAAACAAATTTCAATATCCACAGAGCAGTTCTCTTTTCTAGGCTTCATTATAAGGATGGATCTTTCAAATAGAAACTGAATCACAAACTACTACACAACAATAACAAGATCTATAAAAAGTGTGAATTTCCGATAGCAACCAATCCATGATTTAAATGGCAAAATATAAATACTGCTGTGTGGGTAAGAGGAAATATTAGTTCAGGAATCAACCACAAGGGGGTTACTCGCCTATATAAGCTATATAGGTATGTGCTGCCCATCAAGTAGGGTTTGGTCCGAAGACGGGTATACACTTTGCCCCTTTTGGTCTGAGATCAGGTATGGTTTTTGGGCGAACTATGGGAGTGTATGAACGTATTTATCGTTTCAATTCAAAATGAGTAACAGAGATAGGCAAATTGGAAGTGGATTTGAAGAATTTTTTTGTTCACGCTCTATACTAAGTAATGATAACATAATTTCTGCCTAACGGCTAGGTCTGAAAATGGATATGGATTTTAGAAGTCTGGTGTGAAAACAGGTGTGGAAAATTACATTTTTGGGTCTGAAATAGGGTCAGCATTTGAAGAACCAGGCAGCACATCCCAATCAGTACCCCCCCCCGGGGAAATCAACCAATGTTTGATGTTTTACATTTCAGTAAGCTGAAATACCTGTTTGGTACATCCACCCTCGATGATGAGAACTGTGTTCACGCGCTTCACTAGGTTGAATTCATGCCATCTCTCGCTCATAAGGATGGAGTATAAAAAACTGTACTTGACTTGAAGCCCGAGTTTTTTTTCTACGACAGAGTTCTCTTTGCCGGACACTGCGTTCATAATCTCTATAAGAAAAGGGTGGTTCGTCTTCAATTCAACCCATACTTTATTGAAATCAAAGTTTTCAATGCTCTCGTAGTCATTTCCATATAGAACTGAACCTTGCGAACGCTTGCACAGCTTTGCACATGATGTCTTCAATTCCTCCCCGAAGGCCTTTCTTAACTCCTGTAAAACACTTGGACAGTGGTCTTTCAAAATAGCCGCCAATACAGTTGCATCCTTATGCCTGACCGCTTGCACAATCATTTTCTGCTGTCTCTCATCCAAAACCGGTTGAGCTTCAAATGTACAATTACTAGATCCTGTTGATTTTGACATTAAAACTGCAGTTGTAGCTGGCCGAGTCCGGAAAGCTGGCTGCTCTGCAGAACTTGATGTGGTTTGTGCCAACGGCTGATCCGCAGACGTACTCATAAAAGCAAGCTCATCTCCTGTTGATCTGGGTGTCAGAAAAGTAGCATGTTGCGGAGTTGACAGAGACAGCCCCTCTGCAGAATTTGATGTAGTTCGTTTGGGATGCTTCGCAGAAGTGGTTGTACATGTGGAATTATCTGCCGTCGTGGCTGGCGGAGATGAGAAGGAAAGCTGTTTTGCAGATCTACCTGATGTGATTCGCTTCGACGGCTGATCCACATTGGAGCTTTCGGGTGGCATATCCTTCGATAAACGCTTCGAAGGCTGATGCGAAGACGGCGAAAGTTGAACGCATCGCTTTACAGAATATTCTGTGTTTACTGGATCAGAAGGCGTATTGTCTAGAGTTTGGGCCCTTTGAATGAACTGATCCATTTTCTCTACGAACGCAACGCAAGTCCTACACACCACTGTTGACCTAGCTGACCTCGTATCGTCCTCAGAAATTTTGATCCCACACGTTTTTTTAACCTTCGAACACAGATCTTTAGTTGAACCGGCCTTGCTGAATATCCGTAGCATATAGCGACTCTCATAGGAACCACCACATAGCCTGCAAACTGGATTTCTTGCAGAAATCTTCGTTGGAGTGGAAATACTTTCCGCCATTTCGATTTCGGTATAATGCATAAATTATTTTTATTTGGTCATTTTCTTACATAAATTACCTAAATCAATCAACCAATCAAAATGACGGATCGACCGGCCGATGCCAGGGCCTTTTCCCGCCCCGCCCCCAAAGCCAGGGAAAAGCGCCCTGGGGACGAGGTTGCTGGCACGAAAGGCCGTGGACATATGTCTGCGAGTGCTTACGAAAGCAAAAAAACTAGATTCGACAGCTACAGTCGTCAGGAACAGTGTATTGATAATATCCGATATTACCTTTCTGATCTAGGTTGTCGCGTGCACATTTTTTCCGACAACCTTTCTCGAAATAGCTGTATACTTTCATTTGCATTGGATAATGGGGACACGTCGTCGCCGAAACGTCATGTTTTAATAGCGTTGCTTTTTATCCTTAAATGTAGAAAATAAAACATTTGATTTGAATTGATATACAAAAATATAAAATTGAATTTAAAGAAAATAATAATTTAAATGAAACAGTTATGATACCGCAAAAAATCCAAAAATACTCTAAAGAAATTTTAAATACTATGAAGAATGTGTAGATCATTATGATTATATGAAGTCAATAGAAGAAAATGAACTTGAAAGTTTATAATGAAGATTGAATGAAGATTTGGTTTATTGCTGTCTCCCTCCTCCGCAAAAGCCCCTTGGTGTCCTAGGGAGACTGGGGAGAGAGAAAAAAAGAAAGCGTATTGGGGATTATGGGAGGAAAACATTATTGCTAATTTTATTGGAATACCCAGCGGGAGCCTCGATATGAGGAGGAGCGGAGCATCGGTGCAGAAGCCCATGACCTGGAGCGTTAATTTCCCATGAAACCCTAGGAGACAAACTTTGCCCGTATCTTTTTACTTGTAGACGCTCAAATTCCCGCGAACGCTTTATTCCGTCCAATCAGAACAAAGTTATTGTATTACGTCACACGCAGTCACGCACAAGTGCAAAAAAATTCCAGTCAGCAATGCCGGACCGGTGTTATGTTGCAATGTCCTATCAGCCTTGTTTCTTGGTTTGTCAAAGCAGTATATTTATTGTTTGTTCATATCTGTTTTAACTCCCATTGTCTTTTATTCTTTTTTCTCTTTCCCTAGCTACGTCGCTTATCTCTCACGCCTTTTATTCTGCAAGGCTTTCAAACTGATACTGAAGACAAAAAAACATTTCAACAAATTTGCCCAACCTTTCCGTTAGAAAACGGGAGGGAAAAGGCCCGGGATAAGTTTGCAAGGCCTTTCCCCAGCCCTCTGCACGCAGCCTGCGGTGACGTGACCTAGACGTGTCCGGCTTTAGTAAGCAGCTTGTGTGACGTACGCTACCCACCCAGTATATTTCTCAGAAAGACAGAAACAGAGAAAAGGTCACTAAGTACGACAGGAGTTGACAGTTCCGGTGTGCGCAAAAGCCACAGCTAAATATCTTGTCGCAAACTGACTCGCAAGAAATCAACACAGATTTATTCGTACGGAATGGGTTTTGGTTTCTTTTGGTGGTGTCTTTTATCTTGCTGGCTGTGGTTTGGTGAGTGTTTTCATCTTTTATTTTGATTACCGGTGAAAACTTGGCTTTATGCACGAAAATTTAGGTCTCTTAAGGGGTCATGAATTTATGAGAAGGTGACGACTCATTTATTGTTTCAAGGGATGCATGTAACTGCGTACAGATTTGACGGATCGTTTCTGTTTAATAGCAAATGTAGGTAATAAAATCATTAAAGGTTTTCCCAGATTATGTTTAACTTCTATTAGGGGCGGCGGGTTGACCTTAATACAGAATTTTTGTTCTCAAATGATCTCAAATGCGACGTAAATGTTATATTTTCAATTAGCGAATTTAAAAAATTGATTGAAAAGCTTCGAGGTGGTAAAGCATATATTTCTCAAACAAGCCTTGCATTGAAACTTACAGAAAGGAGATAATTTGTCAATGCTCTTTGCCGTCAATATCGCGTGACTCGATATTTATTACGTGAGGGCTATCTTTGAAAAAAAAAATGGAGAAACATAGAATTGGAAACCCGGAAGAAGGGACGAGGAATAGTGGATCATAAAACAGGGGAATCTAAACAGTTTTTAAAACGTAAGGAAATCACGAAGCGGATGCTTTTAGAGAATAAGAATCTTTATAGGGCGAAATCTTAAAAAAAAATTGCACTTCGTAGCGACGGTGCGCTGTATTTAGCTGGGTGCGGGGCTTAACAACTCGTTTTCATTGCACACTAGAAACTGCATCTTCAAAGCAATGGTATGTATCAAGAATCAGCGGGACAGATTTAGCCACCTGTGGGACTGAAGAGGCTCACCCATGCAAGAAAATATATCAAGCTACTGCACGGGCGCGTGGCCGTGACGTCATTAACATAGACGGCCGAGGCTCGTCACGTGACCCGTATTCTTGCGAATTCAACCCAGAATTACTTTTGGCGGCGGTTTCGATTCGCAGTTACAGAACTCAAGCTTTTGTCTCTTGTAAAGTCAGCAGTTTTCGATTTTCATGCAACAACAGGAATAACTCCTTTTCCAGTGTATCGCTGGAGAGAATTACCTTCATGAACACTTCACTGTACCTTTCAGATTGTTCACTAAAGTTGACCGAGGTCTATTTTGTCAACAGTTCAATTGATGTTTTGTCTCTCGATTTTCCGCAAGGATCGACAGGAAAAATTGAATTATCTGGATGTTCTTTCTACAACAACAGTGGCACTGGTCTGAGGATCCGCGGTGATTCAATAAAATTAATTATTGGCAATTCGTCTTTCAGTAACAGTGAGATGCGTGAGGGCGATTCAGAGAGAGCGCTGATGGTTATATTAACAAAAAGCTCGGGTGGTCAAATAAGTATTAACGCCACCAACGTCACCCTTTCACATAACAGCTGTTCTGGAAAAGCCTGCATGAAAATTGGATCTGGAATCAACGGAATTTCAAACATCAAAATGGATAAAGGAAAAATCGAAAACAACAAAGCATCCGAAAGTGTTGTCGACATTAATGGTACTTCAGTTGTAGAGTTTTCGGCGATGCAATTTAGACAAAATAACGGCAGAGCTGTTAGCATACGTGATGGTGACTCAGTGAAACTAAACATTACGAACGGAAACTTTACTGATAACGAGATACATGATTTTCACAAACCATGCGATGGAGGAGCAGTGCTGATCAGCAGATTCACACAGGAGGCCCTCGTCTTCATGTCGAGTTCAAGCTTCACCTCGAACACGGCGAACAACGGTGGCGCATGTGCGTTCAGCGACCTTTGGTTGCTCACATTGGATATTGATAACTGCGACTTTGTTCGAAACGAAGGTTGGGGGTCCGGAGGGGCGCTGGCTGTGGGTAATAATTATACCAACTGGCAAGAGAAGGCCATTATTAATATTCGAAATTCAAACTTTGATAGAAATACACTTTATTACAGATTATACAAGCGGAGCAATTCGATCTACTACACAGATTTTGGGGGAGGCGGTGCAGTGGCATTTTATATATTAAAAATGTTGAATCTTACATTTACAAACAACACTTTTACCGACAACAAAGCAGAAGAAAAGAATGCTGGAGCTTTCAGGGCTAATATAGGCACGATTTACCAAGACGCAATATTCCTGAATTGTAGCTTTGTTGGGAATTCTGGTACGATCAATTCAGGGACGTTTCAACTCAGTATCAGTGACCCTTTGTACTCATCTCCACCAAGAGTAACAATGAAAGGTTGCTCGTTCGTCAAAAACACAGCTTATTATGCTTACGGTATCGGCACGTACGATATTTTTCTTAATCAAAGTTATTTGACCATGTCATCTTGTACTATTCAGAATAACTCGGGAGGCGGAGTATTTCTCGGAGCTATGGATGATACATGTGATGTATATGTGGAGAATTCTTTGATAAGCGACAATGAAAACTTTCAATTTTCTCTGCTAAGACTGAATGAACTCGGCAGCGACGCGAGTTTTAAATTCAGTAACGTTTCCATACTGAGGAACAACTGCAAAGCAAAGAGCTCCGTATTTCATATTTCTTTACCCCATAATCGAAATTCGTTGCATTTTCAGTCCAGTAAATTTGAAGAAAACTTTTGCAAATCGGGGGTTGTAAAGATATCTGTTAGCCCTTACCTATTCAAGAACAGGAGCGTGACCAATGTGGGCACGACTGTTTTTATTAACAACACCCTGTTTCGAGGAAACTCAGGCGTCGCTGAGAGCACATTAACAATAATGGACCCTGAGGTGATCCAACTTGAAAACAGCTCCTTTATAAACAACTTTGGAGGTAACGATGGATCCCATATGCGAGTACAACTAAGCTCAAGCAGATTACAAATCTACAAAACCAATTTCTCTCAGTCAAAGGAGTCGCAAGTGTTTAATATACACAGAGAAAAGCCGTACAACGGATTTTTAACGGTGACCAGCTTTGGTAACATTTCCGTGCGAGAGAGCTCGTTTATTTCTGACCCTGTCAGCTACGACGGCAAGGCTCTTGTCTTTGTCAAAGGTGCTGACAAGGTTTACATGGACCATTCCGTGACTGTTCAATCTCCGCTTGGAAGCAAGCTGAACCTCCATAACTTCACGCATTGGGAAAGTTTACATTTTGGAAAATGGCTGAAGGAGATTTTAATCACGTCTTTTGCCATGAGCATGCAGCCCTGTCCAGTAGGTACCTACAGCATCCGGAGAGGGACTAGCAAAGGTTTAGACATGGAACATCTTGTGAAGTGCTATTCGTGTCCCAATGGTGGAAACTGCACTGCAGCTCTTGCGGCGAGACCAAATTTCTGGGGTTATCCTACTGGGGATAGAGTACACTTCACACTTTGTCCCCATGGTTACTGCTGTGCACCTCATCAAAAATGCCTTTATCACAATGCAAGCTATTGGCGTTCTGGTTGCCAAGGCAAACGAACGGGGACTCTTTGTGGCAAGTGTAAAAAGAATTTAACTGAAGCTTTGTTCAGCGCTAACTGTGTTCCAGTTGAGAAATGCCATCATTGGTGGTATTTGGTTGTTATTTTCAGCTGCACAACATTGTTTGGGTGGTACCTCATCGAGAAACCTCCACTGTTTCAAAAAATAGCGACACACCTGGTATGGTTTTTTCCGAACCAAAGAAAAAAAGATTTCCATCACGTTGACAAACTGGAAAATGACAGCAAATCCGGTGGACGTTCATCTTTCTCCTCGGATGGCTTCTTAAAAATCCTCTTTTATTTTTATCAGATTGCTGGTCTTTTGACCACTTCATCCCAGGGTGTGAGGGAATTACTAAAAGATACTGTTGTGTTGCCAATAATCAGCCTCTTTGACTTCAAAGTGTATCCACATAGCAAATGGGATATCTGCCCTTTTCCTGGTCTTACTCCACTTTCCAAAACGCTGTTTCAAGTTGTCACTGTAGTGGCTGTCTACTTGTCAATCCTGCTCATCTACCTTGTACACAGCGGTCTTAACAAGCTGCGCAAGCGTTCTCCTGCCTTACCTTCGAGTGGCCCATACCTAGGAGCGGTCTTGGAGACCGTATTGTTAGGGTACTCCGCAGCGACAGGCACGGCCATGCGACTTCTGGATTGTGTCCAGATACAACACGTGCCTCGGTGGTATTACAACGCGGAGATCACGTGTTTGCAGTGGTGGCAGAAGGCGTCTATAGTAGCGATCGTTCTCTACCTATTTCCGTTTATATTCGCTTTGCTTCTTGGCTCCCTACGCCTACATCGTCAGCAAATGACAGGAAAGTTGTTTTTACTGGCCTGTGTGTTTCCTCTTCCGTTTCTGCTCTATGCCTTTGTCGTTTTCATAACGGCGACTGCAGCACGACCACCCACATCTCAAGTGATGACGTCAATGTCGTCTTCCGCTGACGTCGAGGAGGACAGGAAACCATCTCCGCGCGACATAGAAGAGTCGGTTCTTGAAGTGTTAAGCGGGCCATTTTGCAATCAGAATCAAACTGACCAAGCACCATCTAAAGTCTACTGGGAAAGCATCCTTATTGGACGTCGATTTATCTTGATTCTGATCGCCTCGTTCGTGGCTCATGCCTTCCTACGCTCCGTCTGTCTAGCAGTCTTATGCCTCGCGTTTCTTTTACATCACCTTTCCCAGAATCCCTTCGTCAAGTTCCACGCCAACTTAGCTGAAACGGTTTCCTTGGCAACATTGGTCGTCATAGCAATACTAAATGTTGGGGTGGCATCGTATTACTCCGCGGGAATCGAAGCCCATGGCCTCGAACACAAATATGTCCACGGTTTTCTTCTGGCAGAAGCAGTGTTGCTGAGCTTTATCCCAGTTCTAACTGTGATCTTCCTCTTGCTGTCATTGGCCTCACAGCTTGTTCGCCTGTTGATGATTCTATATCAAGTGATTCGAGGCCTTGCGAAAAAGTCAAAATCTTCTCAACAACAAGAACAGCGGGAACCATTGATTCCACCTGAGTGATAACTCTTTTTCGAAAACGTTTTGGTACTGACCAACCTGCCTGTGTGAGGGAATTTAATTTAATTTAATTTCAAAAACTTATAAGGCGCAAATATCTATATAAATATATTCAAATGCGCCATAGGAAAAAAAACCAAAACAAAACAAAACAATAATACTACTAATAATAAAAATTATGAATAATTATGATAATAAAAATGATAAAATAAGATGATAATATGGATATAGAACAGAATTACTAATGGCTTAAAGTTAAAAAGATAAAATCCGTTAGCAAATCTTAAAAATCATAAGCTGAAAATTATTTATAATCTAGTAAGCTAAAAATACAATCTTATAATCTAAGTAGTACAAAATGCTTTTTTAAAAAGATGAGTCTTCAACTTTCTCTTAAAAGTGTCAATTGAAATGGATTCCCTAATAACTCTTGGCACAGCATTTCATAACTTAGGTGCAGCAAACAGAAAGGCCCGTTCACCGAGAGTTGCCTTGGGCTTAACATTCGGATAACTAAGTAGGGTACTGCCGCTAGAACTTCTTAAATTATATTTAGATACAGGCTTAGGAGTAATTAAAAAACTTAAGTACGAAGGTGGTAAGCCCTTAAAAATCTTAAAAACAATCAACAGGGTTTTAAATTCAATTCTGAACTTTACAGGCAGCCAATGCATATCTACTAATAAAGGAGTAATGTGACAATATTTACTTTCATTGCATATTAATCTAGCACACATGTTCTGCACACGCTGTAGCTTGTTGAGTTGATACTCCAGCAGGCCATATAAAAGACTGTTATAAAAGTTTTATACAGGGAGACTCTGCCCTGAGGTCCAACCGATTATTCTTTAACATACCATTTTTGACAGAGAAGATACCCTTTTCGTATACCTTCTACTGACAAATGGTACCCCTTTTATAACCTAACTTAGAACACTTCATCCCTTTTAACTGCCATACACACTGTCTTTTAAAGGGGCTGTGTCACGGCAGTCCAGTTCAATTTGATTAATTTTGCCAATTACTCACCCTCAATCATTATGGAACTTAAAGTAAGCAGAGAAATTACATGTAAATGACAAAATCAGAGATCCAAACAAACAAATACGTCTCCTGAGCATTATTTTTGAAGTTTCAAGCAGCAGGGATCAACTTTGAAAAACTCTTAGGCTGAACAGTTTTCAAAAACCCTAATTTCAATCCGTTTCGATCTTCTTCAGTTTTGCCCACCCGTGGCATCTGTTGTTTCTGTTACGTTATTTTAACCTTCCTTGAAAGTTTTAAGTGGTTATTTTCATGTTTCTCTTAATTTAACGCGCATTTTGTAATTTCCTAATTTGGCTGAATTTCGTGACACGGCTCCTTTAAATATGAATAAACCACAAAACCAGAACATTTTCAGGACTTTTCACAGCCATAACATGTATCTGGTAGCCCTAATTTTGGGGCTTTTTACAGACTGAAATGACAGATTCACATAGGAGGACAACCCTCGTTACCGCCGTTAGTGTTTTAGCTTCAATAAGTGAAAACCCTACCCTTCAATATACCTGAATCCTAAAACATGTACTCCTTTCTGGGGGAGCCTCTCCATATAAGCTCTTACTTCAAGTACCCTCCCGCCTCCCCCCCCCCCCCCCTGGCATTTATACCTCTCAAACTGGATAATATTCAATTCAATAGGCCACTTCCGAGTTCCAAAAACCCTAACTTTCAAAATGAGGCCAAGTGCACAACCTTTCTTGTGAAAATGAGTTTTACTTGCATGAGAATAAAAAATAATTTGCATTTCAAAGGCTGAGCACGTAACCTCATTTTGACACAGAGGCCCGGGGGAACTGGGAAATGACCTATTTTAAATTTGTTGTAATTACAATCTTTAGATTTTAGAAGGTTTAATAACGATATTTTTAGTCTTAGTTAGGACTAATAATTACCGCAGTGTATTGAACATATCATCTACTGTTTTGTAAACATAATTTTTTTTAATTTGTGCTCGCAGCAATTCCACATTAGTGATGTGAAAATTTTGTGTTTTGCATCATCCATATTGCTTTCAAAACCATTTTCTAGAGAGACGTTATTTCATCCATCTTTTGTGAGTGTTTTTTATTTCAATTCTGGTTGGATATACGCTTCTTCCATTGCGCCCGTATCGATAAAAATTGATCCAAATATAGAAAAACGCATTACCCAGGCAGCACAAATGTTATGACATTTAGTGTTTTGTTTTGATCAGTAAAACTATCTTTTATTTCAAAATGTGCTCATAGATGGAGTCGAGCTTTTACTTTCATGATAAAAAGTACTCTAAAATGTATCTAAAAATAACCTAGTCCATGAAAACACTGTGACATATGCCTAGTATGGGAGTTGCTCACTCCAGGTTATGAACCCATGCTATTGTTCATTTGACTTCTAATAAAACCATTACAAAGTCATCCAAACAAGAGCTACAGTGATTTTAATTTTAATAAAAAAAATTGTCATTAAATTATTTGCTTTACTGATTTGTAAAGGGAAATTGTCTTAAATCTTGGTTATTTCTTCACTACACAGAGATATATAAGTGATGGTATCTGTACGGGTAAAAATAACCGTGTTCCATTCTGAGCGCCCAAGTATACAAAAATCTGTGGCTTACATCCCCTAACAGGATAACCCAAAGCCAGCCTTTATTCGAAAGGAAACCCCTCCCCGCCGGGAAACCTGACTTCTTTTCTTACTCACAATGAAGAATTAAGATTCTCTGTTTGTTTCGCTTTAGCAGTTGGCCATCTTCTACTCTTGGTTCTATTAAATAGTTAGTTACTCTCAAAGGATGACGCAGGACTCCTTTGTGCCTTTGTGGAGCATCTTTCCTTTCAGTTCCTTGGAAATCAAGCAAATGCCAGAAAGCTTGCGTAGGGAGACAGCTGTCGATGTTTAGCCTTGTTTATCATCTTGTCGCGTGAAAAATCCTATTGATTGGCATTCCATTTTCTGTAGTTGCTTTAGCTGGTTCTGTGCCCTACGTAGCAAGTACTCGATTCGAAGTCCGTCCGTCTTGGGTAACACAGAGTTTTTTCGAAACTCGTATCTGATATGATCTTTGAATCCAGGTTTGTCCTCGCTGGCACGTAGAAACGCTCGATACAGCGAAAGGACTTGCTTCTGAAGTCGACTACGTACCATTTCAAATGAGAACAAATCCACAATTTAGAAAGACAAGGAAGATCAAAGATTATATAATCCCTCCTCGCTTATTAAACTCCTTCGTCCGCCATCTTTGTTTATGAAACAGCGCTTGCGTGAAGCCCGAAACCGCTGTTCAGTTAAAACTAAATGCTCATTTCACCATGAGACCAGATGAACATAAGAAGAAGCACAGAGCTGAATACAAGAAAAAACACGGCATTTGCAACAAGAAAACAGCTTCTAAAGAAGGAAATGATACAAATAAAGAAGGCACTAATGCTGAAACTCAGACAAGAGAGTTTGTAGTGGAAACTGAAGAGGTAAACATATAAATGATTGTTGATCTGCAGGATCTATGAGATCTACAACGTCTATACGATCTACAAGGTTTACCGCATCTATAAGATCTACAAGATCTGTACGATCTACAAGGTTTACAGTATCGATAGGATCTACAAGATCTATACCTATCTATATCTCTTAGAAGTTCATCTAGGGAGACACACCATTTTGTTTTTTGTTCTAAGACTTTTTAAGTAGAATTTACAAAAAATAACTTTTAAATAAAGTTTGTATCTTCAAATTATCTGAAATTATGGCATGGTTTTAGGAAGACCAGGCACAATTCTCACGGAGAAAAGTCGCCAGTAATTGGGAACGATATGAAGAACTTGAAAGTGGTGAGTTTAATAATCAGATTCAGATTGATGGAATTAGCTACAAGTTGATCTCAGACTTTTTAAGCTCAGGTCCAAGTTTTTCAAAAGGTGGATAATCTTCCCTGGATAAATCTCTTTTCAGTGGATGATGCATTTGGTTTTTCCACTACTTATTCGCTGGATAGCGCTTTATCCAGTGGATAGGGCTCTCCGACATTTGAACAACTTGGACCAGATGTGTTTTAGGTCCATTAGATCCATTGCCCCATTAGGTCTTGTGACTTGGTCAGTATGGTTGACCAGGTTAGTGACCTGACCGAGAGGTTGGCAGAGATGCCAACCTCTGGAGATCTAAAATCTGGAGACTCTCTCTTTTTCACTACCCCCCCTCCCCCCGGAAATTCAATAAACCACCTCCCCCTCCCCCTCTCCATCCCCGACAAAGATGGGAATGACTAAGGACATTATATGAAGTCTTACATAAAGTACATACTATCAAAATTCGCGTTTTGATGCCAGAAATAATCTTTGTCAATGACTAAATACATGTGCAAAAATGCCCCAGAAACCGTACTACGAATACGAAAAATTCGATTTTGCGCTAAAAATGGGCTACATCTCAAACTAACGCACATAAAAGCTCAAAAGATGATTTTATCCGGGAGATATGGTGACCCGTACGGGAGACCGGGAGATTGGTGCCGTATCCGGGAGACTCCCGGATAATCCGGGAGAGTTGGCATGTATGGGTTGGTGACCTGACCTAGGTTGGCAAATTATTAACCTGATATGGTGTAAAGGCCTCCTTACATTTTTTGGCTTTACTAATCTCCACTTTTCACCCTTTATAGAAAGCAGTGATGAAGAAGACAATGTTGAAAACATTCATAAAAGAGGAGAAGATTTTAGTGTTCTTCTGGAAAAATCAGGTAAAGATGCTGTTGTTTTAGTGCATAGTATACCATCATCACTTTATAGGTGAAACAAAGTAAAGTCAGTAGATTTGTATTATAAACGGTAATTTGCATCATTGCCTGGCCTACAACTTTGATTTGCATCTAATGAGCTAGGTGCAAGTTGAAAGTTCTTAATGATAATAATAATAATAATAATCAACTTTATTTAACGAGGGTAACACGGTACAGTACTTCAACTGAATAACAAGTGGCCATAGGTTGATGATGCAGATTTAAGCAAAAATATTGTGTGCTTGAACCTTTGTATTAAACACAACAAAAAATTCCTTTGTTTTACATGACTATCTACTTCTTGCTGTGATTACAGTGAAGGAACAAGAGGAAATGCAAGTGTTTGACCTTGTACCTGATGTTATTCATTGTTATTGATTCCTTGATTTACATTATTTTTATTTTCATTTGTTTTTGGCTATGGTAATGTATGATAATGAGGTTTGAAACAAAGGAAAATGAAATTTAAACCTAGCCATGCTGATTATTTGTGAATAGTAAGGCTAGGAGACAGAGAAAATTTAGAATTAACCAAGGTTAGAAAATTAACCAGGTTATATTTAATTTTGTCCTATAACGCATGTATTAAGCCTTTTGTTATACTAGACCTTTGACTGATTCGGTGACATTGTTCTTTAGAAAACCCAGCATCACAGTTTCGCTTCCAGTCAGAAAGAGAATGGGATCAAGAAAGTGATGCGAGCACAATAGAAGTAAGTTAGAGAATGAAACATCTGCTTCTTTCGAAAAAATTCTGTCTGTAACGAAACCAAACTAGGTATAACAAATACACCTTCCTGATTGGGCTGGAGTCAGTGTCAGATCTACAGCCTGGCCAGGAACCCTATGTCCTGAGTTGAAGGGTGGAATAATGTTGTAGGGGACTTAGTGTCCTGTTGACCTTAGTCTTTTAAAGACCTAAAGACCAGGAATAATGATGATAATATTGTAAGTAGCCAAGTTGCTTATTACACTAAATCTTCAAATAAAGATATAAATAAATAGATAGACAGTTTACAAGCATAAATTACAAACCAGGTCATTTCTTGATTAGCTGTATGTTACTGTAATAGCTCTAAGTATTTTTTACTTTGATACCATGTGTGATACCGTGTGTCATGAATTGGTGCTTACACATGTACTGCTTCATTTCTATAGCTTTAGGTTTTTTCATTTTGGTTATTAACAATAAGAGGTATTAAACTTTCTTTCCAGGTCACTAACTCAACCCTAGAAGTTGATTTTGGAGCATTAGCAGTAGCCTTAAACTCTATTCCTCTGCACAGACGTCTTGATATCTCTCCTGATCATGTGCATGTGAGTATATGTCCCCCTTATTTTTTTGTGGTTGTTGTGTTAGCAGTGCAAGTTGATTGTATAAACAACTTCTGTCAGTTACATTAATTAAATAGCTGATGCTTGAGTAACCTCCTGAGGACTTGAAGGTGAATCATCATTAAAGATATGTGATCTTAAACTTATTTTAAATCTTATCATAATCTTTCAAAAGCGTCACAACATCTTGAGTGAAATCTTCTGACCAATTTAGTGATATTAAACTGATTACAGAAATGTTTGTTTTTCTCAGCCTGATCTTGTTAAAGAGTTTGAGTCAAATGCCGAGTTGTGCAAAAAGGATCAGTCTATTCCCTCAGATACAAGAAATACTAAAACAACAACAATGGCAGAACCAACATCCATTCCTAGTGATACATGCCTTCACGCAACCATACTGAACAGCACAGAAGATAATCAGCAGAATTTTGAAACAAAGACGTTTGAGAACTCAATGGGTAACCGAAAACATGTCACAATAAACTCATCTGGAAAAGATGTGCTAAGATCTGTAACACAATCATCAGGCACAAGTGATCCTTCTAAGCTTCAGAATGCAGAGGAATTACAAACGTCTTTGAAAGATGTTTTAAGAACTGCAAATGCTACCACTACTACAATTAATATTACGAGTGGAAAAATGTTGGAGAAACCAGCTGAAAATGAGGAAGATGATGAACTTGAATCCCTGCTGTCTCTTGGGACACCAGGCATGAACAGAAACAGTGATTCAACTGCAGTACTGCAAAACAAGAGGGTGAGTTGAATGGAGGAAAATAACAAGGGAAATTGAACACATTGTTTGTGTTGTAAAATAATTGAAAGATAGTTAAATAGATCTCTGGTAAATGTTTTGTTTGGTACTATGCATCCCCTGTAGAAGTATTTTGCCACTCTCTAGTAATAGTTTTCCAGGTTAGCTTCAAACATTGGCAATTTTTCAGACCACCTTTCTGCTAGGAATCTCTCATAGAAGAATTATTTTTGTAATACAATCAACTCTGAGTCAATCAAATTTCTTTCCAGAAAAATGTTCTTTTCATTTCTTTGGTAATCCCGTTTAACTTTGAAATAAGACTTTGCTTATAAAAGAAGAAAGATGAGGTCAAAAAGGTGATGTACTGATGCTTCAGAGATTTGGTGCTCTTGGATGTGTACTTTGCCTCCCAAGTCCATCAATCTGCACCCCTGCCCCCTCCCATCTGCTCCCCTCCTCAACCCATCTCTGGTAATTCCACTTAAAAGGTAATAATGTGCTTAAGTGGCGGTGACCTTAAGAAGGTCAAAAAGGTGCTATACTGATGCCTCAAAGATTGGTTCTCTTGGATATGTAGTTTACTTCCAAGTCCATAGTGCTTTACCCCTTCCCCCTCCCATGCCATCCTCTCCACACCCCACCCCATCTCCTTGGCTTACTGCCATCCCAAGGATAAAGCATTACAAATGGTGAACTGCAACTTCAGATCTAAGATCCACAAAACCTTTTACCCTAGTGTGAACAATTCATTCCCCTTTGGGAAGAAGACTCAAGAGGATCTAATTCTATAATAATATACCTTCAACTTGTAAATCCTAGGGTTAATATTGAAAACAGGCTTTTATATAATTTTATAGGAAATCCTTTCTCAGAAAGCACTTCCTTCAGGAGTTATAAACAGTGGTAATCAACCTGCAAACAGCACTGACGATGACCTTGAGGACTGGCTGGATAGTGTACTGGGCTGAATTTATTGGAGGACGGCATACAAAAATAACTTTTGCATACCCGAGACAAATACATGATGGTCTCTGTAATATAGATTTTCAACATAATATGCTTGAAAAAGCCAAATTTGGAAAATAAAAGTTGCAAAACTATGTACTTGTAGCCTTTTGTTGTACCAAATATTAGGAAATTACTTCCTCAGCCAATGAAATGACAATTGTGTCAAAAAAATCAAATCAAATCCTTTATTTAAACATGTGACACCCAGGAGCACTAAAGTTCGTACAGTCTTGAAAAGTCCTTGAATTTTAGGGGAAGTACTTGAAAAGTCCTTGAATTCCACTTTTCCTAAAAAAGTCTTTGAATTTTCTTCAACTTTGAATGTAGTGGCCTGGAAATAATTATTTGATGCTTTTTGGTTGTCCAGGACAGAATATAAATCATAGCTCAGAGAATTTAAAGGTTATTAACATAAAGTGCTCTTTTTTATGCAATAAGTAACTATCTGTGAAATTATATTCCTTGTAGGTGGTCCTTGAAAAGCCCTCAAAAAATGGTTGCAATTTTTTGTATGAACCCTCTGTTTTCTCTCAGTATTAAGTATATCATGTGGCAATTGCCAAATCTTCAACACCAACTGTAGTTGTGCTATGTTGCCAATTTGTATGTTTGCAAAATGCCTGAGAAAACAGCCAACATTTGGTGACACCACCTCTGGTTCACTGGCAAAATGAAGTCTGGGGAACGAGTACAGAAGTTCCATACTAATGGTATATCTCTACTTAGATCTAGGTAGTGGTTCTGATTGGTTGACAATTTGCTTCAAGCAATCAGACCCACTAGTGACTCAGATCTGGGTAGTAACATGTCATAAGTATGGAATTTCTGTGCTTGTTCCATGGTTGTCATTGCCAAATATTGGTTGTTTTCAGGTGTTTAGGAAGTGCAGAGGCCTCAAAATCAGCTATTTAGATGGAAAACAGCTGTTTCTACCAAAGTCAGGTGTTCAGTAAGGGCAGAGGGCTTGAAAGCAGCTATTTAGATGAAGAACAGGTGTTTCTATCACAGTCAGGTGTTTAGTAAGTGCAAAGGGCTAGAAATCAGCTATTTTGGGTGGAAAACAGCTGTTTCTATCAAAATCAGGTGTTTAGGTAGTGCAGAGGGCTCGAAATCAGCTATTTAGATGGAAAACAACCGTTTATATCAAAATCAGGTGTTTAGGAAGTGCAGAGACTTCAAAATCAGCTATTCAGATGGAAAACAGCCTTTTATATCAAAATCAGGTGTTTAGTAAGTGCAGAGGGCTTGAAATCAGCTATTTCAGATGGAAAACAGCTGTTTATATCAAAATCAGGTGTTTAGGAAGTGCAGACGGCTCGAAATCAGCTATTAATTTTAGAAGGAAACCAGCTATTTCTATCAAAGTCAGGTTTTAGTAAGTGCAAAGGGCTCAAAATCAGCTATTTCGGATGGAAAACAGTTGTTTATATCAAAATCAGGTGTTTAGGAAGTGCAGAGGACTGGAAATCAGCTATTTAGATGGAAAACAGTCATTTATATCACCTCTTACATGTGAACTACTCACACTGACCACAATAAGAGGCAAACACTATGACAAACATTACACTCCTTTGCCCCCCTCTACAGTAACATTTATGACTCAAGACCATGGCTCTAAAATGTTGGAGAGTGATGATTCAACATAGCGAAATTCATGCCGTTGTTGTATGAGTTTTTGGTGAACATTCTCAGTTTTAAAGTACCAGGACCTAAATAACCCCTAGTTTTTATTTTACACCCCAGTCCAAACCAGCACTTTAAATTAATTTATAATAAATTATACCATTATTTGGCATTACGTTTCGGAAGTTGCAGTGAGTAGTTACTGAGTCTTTGACATAAATTTTTATCTTAGTGACGTCGAAGTTGAGCCCCATGGTGCTTAACTTCAATGCCACTGACATAACATCAATTTTCACTGCCTGTTTGTTGTCAACTACATTATGAAAATACTTTTACCATCAGTCAATAGATACTGCACCAGAAGAACCACTGATGTGCTCACCCGTGCAGGTACAGTGAAACCTTGACATACCAAAGTGCCAAGAGACTGGCAAAATAAGTTTGTTGTAAGAAGGCTTTGTTATATCGAGGATCTTTTTCATATTATTATATTTTTTACTAAAACTGAGGCAAAGAATGAGTTTTTATTGCATGCTTCTGGGATGGCTTCCGTTAACAGCAGAATGTGTTCCCATTTTAAGTCAGAATAGAATGCCAAGCACTAAGTACCAGTGGCTATGTTTCAGGTGGCTCAGTGCCAGAGAGAACCAGACTTGAGTCTACCATGGATGGTACAAATTACCGGTATGGTATAATATTTCAAAGCAAGCCTTTTCCCAACTGTGTAATTTGGAAGCACTTCTAATTACATTTGGTTGAAAGGTTCTAAATTATTATTTATCATTAACATGATCCTCAATGAGTCTGTATGTGGAAGTCTGGAAAAATCCCCTGGTAACTTTTTGGCCCGAGTCCATGACTGCATGCAAAAGGTTTGTTTCCAACAGATAATTTATTAGACTTTGGTATTATCTGAAATTGGTTGTATCTAAATCAAGGCAAACCACACCTTTTTTTCTGTGGTTTGTTTAGTTGCTTCCATTGATTGAAACTTTTTGTTGGTGTTTGAAGAAATATTTTTTTACTAAGTAATCTCTTATTATTTTATACTTTGATCGCATCACATGTGTTCTTTTTGCACTCTGATAAAATTTCCTGTGAATAGTAAGTGCATTCACATGAGGAAATATACCTTTGTAAAATCATACAAACAAGCATCCTTTGAGGTCACAGCAGGATCTCCAAGATAATCTTCAAAATGTTGACAAATAATGTCCAAATAAGGGACTCCTGTGACTCCTCATTTTCATAAGATGCCCCTTCACTGTCTTCTGTTGAGTAATCCATTAAAACTTTCATTGTGTACTTTGATAGAGGTGCATACACATGACCGTAGACTGATATTGCAATGGGTCTCTTGTAGTAACTTGGAATCGTCACAATATCATCACCACAAGTTGCTGACTTGAGGTCATAATTGTCATAGTCTGGTTTAGGATTGTTTTGGGACACGTAGATATCCGCATCCCCTTCCAGGCTTTCAAGAATCAATGTTATGTCACCTTCTTTCTTTAGTGTAAAATATGTGAAATTTCCTGCTCCGATTTCTCCATCAAAAGTCTGAATGATATATTCACAGGATACAAGTCCTGTGAGAAGGAAAATAACCAAATGAAGCCATGACAACTCCATCTTTGGTTGAGCATTAATTTAATCAGCAGAAACAAACCAGGAGCCTGTAACAAAAAAAGGTGATAATAGAAAATAAGAAGCAGAAGGAATGACCATACATTCTGGAACCAAATGGAATGACCTGAGATGAGTGTCATTTGGATGTTAGTAATGAATAGCATACAATATTATTGGTGCGAAAATATTCCTGCAAATTTATAGAGCATTTCCACCATTCAAAAAACAAACAGTACACTACCCACAAACCCATGATTCTTAAATGTCAGATTCTCAATCTCCGTGTGATGGTCAATTACCAGCCATTGATATCAACCCATGTAAGCCAGAGACTTTGGGCACAGGGTACAAAGTTGATACCTATTGTTTGGTCCACCAACAAAGCTGTTTCGTGACATGGTTGTCAATTCAATAATACTACCCAGATGGCAGACTGCCTAACCTTTTGAGTTTTGAGTATGTTAAATCAGATACTTGAAATCAGCAATGAATCACACAGGCAGCAACAGCAATAGTTGCCAGGGGGGGGGGGGTGCGGTCTGTTTTGAAACACTGGAACACCTTTTATTAGGTGCACTGACAGGACAATTTCTGTCTAAGGTGTTTGCTAACTCAATTTTCATTTTTACTCATATTTCTTTCTTCGTGGCTTCACCTCCAAGAGTTCAATTTTACTTTATATTACATGCCTTTTTAAAGTTTTCTGGATATTAGTTTCAGTTACCTGTACTCTGTTAGGTGTTCTTGTATGAGTACTATATTTGAAAATATCAGAACAAATGTCAAGATTGAGATTTTTCCTATCCCAATCACATATTGGTTGGGACTCAGGATTTTCAAGCCAAATCGGGAGAATGCGCGAAAGACTGGGATGGTTGGACATACTGAGACAGACATGTTAAGGAAATGAGGGAATTTGCTACAACGGAATCCTACAGCCCTTCTGGCTCGTCTTCATATAAATTCAGGTGATAAAACCAATCTTTTGTGTTTCATTACCCAACAAGGTGGAACACCAGAGTTTGTTTTGAAAAATAACTTCTTCATACATGAAGTACATGCGGACAGCTCGTAGTGTCAAAGAGATTTAAACAAAACAACCCGGTGATACCTGTATTTCATTTCAACGGGAAAAGTAAATGACACATAAGGTGAAAACTTAAATCGACTAATCAAGTGATAAGAAATCTCAGTTCATTTCATGAGCTTGCAGAACAGTGCACAACTTTATTATCTGACGAATCGAACCGAAGTGTTCGAAAGTGACGCGTTGCACGAGCGAGCACTGTTTTGCAAGCTCAGAGAACAAAATATTATGACTTACCTAACTCTGAATGAGAAGGCAAGAAGTTTCTGGTAAAATAATCACTAATTTTTGCTTTTCATTGGCCCAAAGCAACAACTCAATGCCTCAAATCTGGAAACATTTGATGCTACAAAGGATTGCTTCCAACCACGCTCTTTTTCGTCCCGAGACTCCACTGACCGCGCAGATTATTTTTGGACCCAGTCCTCTCTGGTCAGCATCCCTACGTGATGAGAGTCTCTTCGAATATTCCCGCTCTTCAAATCTTTATGTAAGTGAGAAAAAAATTAAAGTCGCCTGAGCAGGAATCCCTAGATCGAAGGCCCATCGTCTACACCACTGCCCCTATGGCGGATTTCGCTGCAACGACATTAATTATAACGGGAGGGAGGGAGAGAGAGAAAAGCGCCCCTTTTCCCTTCCTCCCTACCCCCTACCTGTTTTGACACAGGCTAATAGCGCTTTCCACTATATCAGTGTACCCATCGAACAGCTAGAGCGTAATCCTTAGCGCTATTGTCAGTGGGTTCACTGACAATTTTCAGTACGGCTTTAGACGTAGAAAGAAAGCCCTGTGAGGGGCTCTCTAATGTTGACATCTTGGTTAGCCTAAGAACAGGTCCTTTTCTCATTAACTCTCTTTGCCGCTCGCTCTTTACAAAAAAATAAGCAATTAATGAGAGCGAGAAGAAAAATTTTCTTTGTAAATCGGATAAAAATTGACAAATGATATAAGGAAAAAACGCATAAACATATGACTTCGTTTTCGGATATGATAATTAAGAATTAATGCTTTGAATTACTAATTTTTTTTCTGAATTGGACATATGACTGATACTTAGCTTGCAGAAGAAATGGTATCGTTACAGACCTTACAGTTTCTGAACTCGCAGGTTTTACTCTGCAAACTGTAAACGGTTAACTGTAGACCAACCTGACTAAAGACTGTGCACTGTGAACTTAAGTATTCTTTTTTTCCTGTCGAATTCAATGGAACCTCGATATAACGAAGGGCCACAGGACTGGCAAAATCGAGGATGTTCGCTATGAGGAGGGTTCGTTATATCGCCAGGTTCTTTTCCTTACTATTACTAGGACTAGTAATATCGTTCGTTATACCGAGGACCTCGTTATACAGAGGGCTAGTTAAATCGGATTCCACCGCTGTATATGTGTGCTGCTGTACAAACCTTTTCCAACCACTAATACATTAAATTCGGCATGGTTATTGTATTGTTAGTTTTCAGTGTCACGCCATTCAAAATAGATCAAAATAAAAATCAAAGCCATTGGACAGATAAAGGCCAGAATCTGGGAAATGAAAGGAGGTAAATATACAAAGACCCTCGCCAAGATTTGGGTCGAAGGAATAATTCGTATACGAGATATCCGAGGAAATGTTTTACCCATATTTATAGAGCTTTTAGTTTGTATGAAGACGCCATGCTGGAGCTCATCCGGATGAGCTCCAACATGGCGGACGGAAACCAACAGAAACATCTGTTACCGAGTTTTGCTACAAAAGCGTGAATTTACTCCTAGAGGAACTCATAAACATTAAAGAAATACTTTATCTAATACTTGAACTGTTTAGATAGCAAAATTCCTCGAAAAAAGTCACTTTTTTAACCTAAATGACACTCTTTCGGCCGTCATGTAAATGCTGCGTCACGCAAAAGCTTAGAAATTCAAGCGTACTCTATTACAAAACCAAAAACCCTTTTGAAGCGAAAATTTGTTTGAAAATTAGTTTTCAGCTGCTCTAATACACCATGAAAGTAAAATCTCAGTAGGATCGATAGTTTTGTAGTTTGAATTTTAGTGACGTCATGTGAGAGTAAACAGCATGAATAGGTTATTGTCGGTACGTAATACTAAAATCAGGCATCAGAACTGAAATCTCTTGGTGGAAAAGTGTTACAATTAAGCACACACTTTGTTTATAAAATTTTTGGTCTTTTATAAACATTGCATGCTATAAAGACTACAAAGATTATTTGGTATCGCGGACCGCAAAGTAGTAAGAGAAAAGTAATTGCCTATGTTTTTTGAATATTCAGAATCAGACTGAGTTTTAGGAAACTAGAAGTGCATGCTAATAAGGTAAAATTGTAGACATAACAAAGAACCAGACAAAACCACCTTAACATGTTTTGAATCCTAAATAATAAAAAAAGATGGGACCTAACTATTCTTAGGCCATAATGGTGAAAGATATTAACAATGAAATCAACTTGTCCGCCGGCTTTGATCGAAAGAGAAGTTCACATATAGTCTCCCACTGCGTTTCTCAAAGGGAGTTTGAAACAGGGTGAAACGTGACAGTCATGAATATTAAGGAAACAGATATTGTTCCTCCGTAGATGCTAATCCAATTGGTTATTCCCATTGGCTACTGAATAATAACATTCATGAGGTAAAACAATTGTCTTTTAGTATTTAGAGTGTGACCTGTTTGGGGATAATAATTTCATCTCATCAAGGTTGTTAGACGGCAGGCACACGTCTGCTTTGCTTCTTAATCCCATTCAAATCTTGTTTGCAGTTACCTTATAAGTCGACTTTCTCATCTGGTAAGTAAGACAAAAAGTAAAGTATTATATAGACCTAGCTTTGATAGGTTGTTCGGCTTTAATACATGAGACTATATATTGAGGGTAACTGTCCTTCCGCGCCAATATGCTCCTTCTTTTATTCATCACCCCATTCATCGCGGTTGTTTAAAAGATCATGCTAGAAACATTACAAAGAATATTTAGTATGTTGGACTGAATGTATCAAAGAGAAGTGATTGCGCTTTAAAAAATCAAGTTTCATTTAGGAAACTAGAAGTGCACGCTTATAAAGGAGGGCAAAATTGTAGACCTAAATTCCCCTAAAAGTCTTTAAGAGAATCGGATTAATAAATAATAAAAAGATGGGATCGGACCTAACTTTTCCAAGGCTATAATGGTGAAAGATATTATCAATGAGTGATAACTGTCCTTCCACGCGAATATGCTTCTTCTCATATTCATCAAGTTTTTATATTCTTATATTCATCAAGTTTGTATATGGCCTAGAAATAATCGCCACGTCAACGCGTTGAGTAATCAGTTTGCAATAGACCCAAGTGACTTGTTTAAGCGTCGGACCGCAAGCAAGGAGAAAAACACAAGAAACAACAAATATCTGGTCCCAAGCAAAGCACAAGATTGAGCATTGTTCGATGTAAACAATGACCATTAACAGCCGTGTGTGAGTAGTTCATGCCTTTCGAATGACTGGTGCAGTAGTTTTCAACAAATCACTTTCAACCGGTATCGCTGATCTTTGCTTTATTCTTTTATTACACTTTATGTTCAGTTACTGCATTGTTTAATTTACTCCTATTGGCCTTTTCATTTTGAATTTTCACTCGTATCAAATTTTCAACTGTACCGCTTTTTAGCTATATTTATATATTTGTAACGACTTTCCGTTTCTTCAATAAATCCCTCGAAGAAGAACGGCTTGACCGTTCGAGGTATCGGGAATACTCAAGTCGCTTTGTTCTTTGCTGTTTTGATAACAGTTTATTGGTCTTTGTTAAAACAGAAAGATTTGGATACCGTCATTATTATAAAAGTTTCTACTATTCTCAGCTTGCTTTGTGACTACTTTCTCCTCTCTTGTTTACCAGAACACTAGACGGAGCTGAGAAAATGGGAGGATCTGCTAGTAACTCGAACAACTCAGCTCAGAGCACCTCATGCGCTCATCGTGACTGTCGAATGAGTAAGGAGAATCTGTATATGGTTCTCGCCCTGCATATGCAAGAGTTTCCAGGCGAACCGGAGATTGATGATTATAAAAAAGTTGGTGCTGTGCTTGTATTGCCCAATGACATGCTTTATGCCGTAGATTGTTCTCGCAATGGTGTGCATGGCGTAGCACGACTGCTAATGACACACCCAGAGATCCCTCAAGAATGCAAAGTTTTCGTGTCACGAAAACCGTGCTCCTTCTGCTAAAGCTACTGGTTCAGTCTAAAGTGAAGAGGGTCTTCTATTTGCCGATAGAGCCCGAGTATTTTAAGAGAGCAAATGATGAAGATTTTGATGTTGAAATGTCGCGCGTCGATGAACTATTTAAAGTGAGTTCGATCGCCCAGTCAGTGTTTGTTCCAAGAGCAGGAAAAGACGTTATTGATGTTGCTGAAAGGAAACACCAAACAGAAACAAGCCAAAGAACCACCGAACAACGAAATCTCTTAAACAAGTACTGGCATGTTGAATGGTTTGAGACTGAAGACGACCAAGGCAATATTTGTCAAGGGAGACTTCCATGGCGAACTTTCAACTGCGAAATGAGGGAGCAGGTTAAAAAAGATTTTGAAAGCATCACTGAATGGATGGCTCATGCCCTTATCAAATCAAAGTTACCAAGAGACGCGTCGTCTGAAGTCTTTCGACGCAGGCAAGACATTCACTTAATGAAACTGGCATTCTTCCTAGCTGAGCGAACAGATGATCCAAAGAGAGGAGTTGGAGCAGTAATAGTGAACAAAGATAAGGATATTGTGGGCCTTGGTTGGAACGGATTTCCGACGAAGTCGCTTTATGGAGAGTTTCCAAGAGCCGCCTACAACGAAAACACATCCCGAGGGGATAACGACGCACACTATCAGGATCAGAAGTATCCGTATATCATCCACGCTGTACAGAACGCGCTACTGATGCGAAACACCAAAAGCATCCAGGATGCGACTCTGGTTGTAACGATGACGCCATGCGATGACTGCACTCCTCTGACTGATATGCAAGGGATCAAAAGAGTTGTATTCGGAGAAAGGATTCGAAGTGATTCAAGCCGGCCACTGATTAAATTTACAAAGTTTCGAAAGAGGGTAGATGATAGAGATAATCCGATTGAGTGCCTTGAACTAAAATAAAAGAGCCGTATTTCAAATGATGGCTCTGGCGGCGAAGCCTATTTCCCTTTCGTAAACGGTCTTTGCCATATTTAATAACCTGCGTAGCTGGCGTTAAAAGGGGCGGGGTGGGAAAGAGGGTGGAAAAAAAGGGAGAAGGGATTGCCTCTCTTTTTTTTTTCCACCCTCCTCCTCTTCCCCCTCCCCCCTTTTTTAACGCCAGCTACGCAGGCTATTAAATATGGCAAAGACCGTTTACGCAGCTGCTAGGCTACATTTTTAAGGGTCTTTTAACGGTCGATGCCACCATTAATAACCAAGCCTTTAGTCATGACAGATGTAATATATTCCTTGGATTAAGTTACATTAAGGGAAATATCACGTTTTTGAATAGTGTTAGAAAGGGCGACATTGAAGCCCAAGTTGAATTTTCGTTAAAAGTTACGGAAAGGGCTAGGGTCACCTGTTATTGATGTAACCGATTCAGAAAGACAGTTTGCCTGTTTACGTACTTACATTTTTCGGAATTTTGATTAGCAAATGAAAGGTCCGGGTTTGACCCTGGGTTGCGATTTTCTTTCTTTCTTTCTTCAAAGAAAGACTCTCAGAAAATTGTCTAAGTCTCTAAAAAATCGCAGCGGCCGTTTACGAAAGGGGCAACTGCAGTGGCGAAAAGGAAAAAATAGAGTCAGCTCGCAAACAGCTCTTCACCGAAACTTACACATGATTAGCTAAGTTTGGACTTTTAAGAATTTTTCATATATTTTGGACTTTTAAAAACTGTTCATATAGTTTGGACTTTTAAGAACTTTTCATATTTATAATTGCATTTATCTCGCTCGTTTTAAGGTTGTGTTACACGAGACGAGACGATTCGTAACATTGTTTCGAATGGTTACAACATTGTTCCAACATTGCAATGCTGTGTTGCACTGAAAATCGTCGTTGCGAATCGTCCCATGTATCGTCACCTTTAAGCTTTTTTATGTACCTGTAGTTATCCATATTTTACCCGTATTTCTCTTCAGTTTTACATTTGGCAACTTTCTTGCATTTACCTAGTCAAGTGTATTTGTCAATCGGAGTCACGTGTACAAGGTATAAAAACTACAACGTTAGATAAGGCTTTCTTTATCAGCAGATCTAGCTGGTTTTTTATAGCTGTTTACTTACTTCTACCCGTCCTTAGACAAACATACATTCTAATGGATAACTCATCGGGAGAAATGGCTATTGTTCTCGGGACATTTACTTACAGTCAGTGAAAGTTTCAAGGTCTGTCATATCGCCCATTGTTATTCTAAAATGCTCAGGGAGAGGCAATTTCATTGGTTACCATGAACGCACGGCTTTGCACATCATCAGGAAGTAGGCGGGTTAAACTAACAATAGCCGAATCGCTCTTTTGTTTTCCCTTTTGTCTGGTAAAATCACAACTCTACGCTTCTAAGGGCCTGTTTACATGGAGTGGGGGACCCGGTCTAGTGGGGTTGGTTTCTTTTGTTTTCACGCTCTGGAGGACACAAAGCAAAAGAAACCTACCCCACTAGACCGGGGTCCCCCACTCCATGTAAACAGGGTCTAAATTACTCCAAGCGTAACTGTTAGAAGTACGAACAAAGCGCTACCATAAAATTCGAATCTACAATCCGGGTTAAACGAAAAAAATAACTGACTTTATGATGACTAGGAAAAGGTGTCTTTCAGTTGCACTCAATTCAGCTCTGACAAGACTATAGCTAATTTTAATTTTCGGCCTAGACTACATGCGCGCGGTTTTTTTCACTTCGACCCTCAGCAGTCTTAAGAATAGACCAGGCAGACGCGCAATCGCGAGATGAAAGCCCTTAAAGTGAGATTGTAAACATGGTACATGGTAAGTGAGTATTACTGCCTCAATCCTTATCCTGTGACCTTCTGACTGTTGAGCGCGTTCGGGAACAAACCCATGACTCACTTGAACGGAAAACTAGATACTGTGGGAGAAACTAATTTAGGGCGACCACGCTTGAATCAAGAACTAGGCTGGTCACAACCTCGCGATTGGTAACTATTTGAGACTTAAGAGGATCAGCAGCTATTCCAAGTTTCTTGAACCAGCTTTAAACCTTTATTCTTGCTCTCGCGGAGATGGATGAGACCTATATGTAACCGATAAGTCTTTGCATGTTCATTTGTTTACTTTCTTTACCGTTCTTTGTTGGAATACAAGCTTAGTAAAGATAGATATTTAAATCGTTTATTCAAAATCGCAACTAGCAGCTGTAAGCTGAGTACATGTTGATAAAAATTTAACCTTAAAAAAATTCCTAACTATATTATAAGAAAAAAACTATTCTATAATGATAAAATTACATCAAATTTAGTATAAAAGTTTTATTTACAATTGTTGCTTATCTGCGTAGTGCATTACATAAGAATTTCTAAACCTCTTTGTTTTTACACGTGGAATTGAAAACATACGCCTGTTCCCAAAGTTATATCTCTCATTGTCGTTTCGCGCGGGCAGCAGGCTAGCTAGTATTTGCTGGCCATCGCTCTCTACAATTTGTTTAAACAATGCTACATAATTCCTCGCGTCTATAAAATAGTGTTTCTAAACCCGCATCTTCCAGAGCCTTGCAATACGAGACCTCTGGGACTAGAATCCTTAAGAGACTCTTTTCTAAACCCTCTCTATTTGGTCGGACAAATAGGCTGGCAAGCTGAAATGGAAAGCCTGACATGCATATTCTAGGACTGAACGAATGCATGCGCAATAAAATTGGATTAGTGTCTTACGGTCTATGCCAGCGTACTTAAATTGCTTAAGCAAATTGTATTATCAACGTGATCATTCCATTTAAGGTGGCTGAACACAGTTTTGCGCGCGGTCAGCGGTAACTCGCGTGGCGGCGCGTGTTTTAAATTAGACAAGCAAACATGGCGGCGAAAAAAGCAGTGGTACAGAGATATGGTCGGCCATTTGTTTCAAAATTATGACACGATATACGTGCGCTTTTTCCCACGTATACTTGCAATCATTCCTGCTACACGATGTACGTGCGTTTTTTTCCACGTATACTTGCGTTCTTTCCTACTTTGTGGGGTTTTTATTCCCAAGTATATGACCATTTTCTTACAAACGCGCATATATATGCGCGCAAAAAAAGCCCATATATATGCGTTACAAAAAGTCGTCGTATAAGAAGCACCGAATCATACCGTCAGCAAAAAAAACCCTTCATGTACGATGGAACTGAAGAGTAACTATAGTTGGAATCAAGCATGGCCGCAATGGCCGCGTTATAATTTCGAACAAGGTTTGGTTCTTATTCATTGCTCTCACAGTAGGGGTGTTACGAAAACTAAGACCCTCGAGAACTAAGACCTAAGACCCGTCTTAGTTTTCGAGATTACGAAAACTAAGACCCCCTAAAATCGAATCCGTCGAAATATAAAGTCAAATTGTAACCGAAAAATGTCTGATCTGTCAAATTATATCATGTTCGATCCTTTCCACCGAGTTTTAGGTGATTAGGTCAAATTTAACGGTAAATTTAGGGGTCTTAGTTTTCGTAATTTCGAAAACTAAGACCCCTCTTAGTTTTCGTAATTACGAAAACTAAAACCCCCCACCAAAACAATCTCTAAAATTTCTACAAAGTCGAATTACGACCGTTTGAAGACTATAATCCGTCAGACAAACAAAAACTACTATCATACGCGTGCTAGACAATTTGCAAGACTAGCCTGCGAAAACATCTCTTTCTCCTCGCTCTTCGTCGCTGAGATATTGTGGCTTTAAGAAGAGGATAAAAGCCATAGACTACCTACGTATAATTGTACACTGAAAATATGCCTTATCCCTATAATTTTGGTTGTTTATCCTTAAAGTCATAAAATTGGTTTTCCACTGGAGATGGATTTTTGTCTTCGTTGCGGGCTGACATGTCGCTGCGACCTGAATGCCTGATCGCTAAGTGGTCAACGGCGTTATCGGTTAAACATCACACAAAAATAAGGATTTTGTTTTTCCTTTTCTGCCCAGGTCATAGATAGAAAAGTACTTTTACAAAAAGGGCGAAAAAGGAGAATATGCTACATTGCGTTTTTCTAGCGTTTGTTTTTATCGTTGCCACCCCGAAGATCACCGGGTTACAACGCAAAAGTAGTTGAGGGGTAGGGGTGGGGGGCAAGGAGAAATAGTCTGTGAGGAATAATCGCTAAAATCACTCATGAATTAATAATAAAAAAAACGAATGAGTGAATGAAATTCCTGTACTAGCAAAGCATCGCCTCGAGAATTGGAAGTGGAATTGGAAGTTACTTTTCAGCTCTATCGTACATAAAGGGGTTTTTTGTTGACGGTATAATTCGGTGCCTCTTATACGACGACTTTCCTTGACCCCAATACACATGCTTGTTTGTAACGCATATATATGTGGGCTTTTTTTGTGCGCATATATATGCGCGTTTGTAAGAAAATGGTCATATACTTGGGAATAAAAACCCCACAAAGCAGGAAAGAACGCAAGTATTCGTGACAAAAAAACGCACGTATATCGTGGCATAATTTTAAAACAAATGGCCGACCATAGCACCCAGGGGCTCTTTCGTCCCGCCTTTTCTCCCGACCCGACTGACTGCCCCTGGGTTTCCGAGGATGAAATTTCATCGGCTCTTCTGATCTAACTTATAATCATGCCAAGCACTATGATCATTTCACAAGCCGTTGTTGCAGTCTTCAGTAAAACCTTTGACTTGGAGTGATTTACTTCTCCGAAAGTCCCTCAAACAGCGATTCTGCCGGCTTATTAAGTTTCCTTATAATGTGCATGGAAGAGCTGAAACTCAATTTTAAAGTGAGTCCAATCGCCACAGTGCGAAGGGCAGTTAGTTTTAAATTGTTTAAGGATCCTTCAGAATTGAGGATGAAATAAAACACAGCAACGATGCTGCTTTGCAGATAGGCAGAAATCATGCACACGCTAATGTAGAAAACGTAGCGCGTGACAAAGTTGTGCTTGTTTAAAATGATTATGAAAAGCATGTTGCACACTGTGCAAACGGTGTTGTAAGGTGCGAAAAAACCGAAATACTCTAATGAGGTACAAAAAGGCACTACTACAGCTAAAACCAGCAAAGAAATGCTTGAAGCAAACCAATCGCTACGAATAAGTTTTAAAAAGTTGATGGGAACAACCCAAGTGTTAGTACAAGCCAACCGACTGTACAGTAAGAAACAAAATATCTGAAACGGTGACCACAACAAAACAGTTAGAAGCAACACAACAACAGAGCTAATTGGCGTGTCACTGTCTGCGTCACAAAGAAAGGATTTTGCTAGGATACCAAGACCTATATCCCCAGAGTTTGTTCTGTCGTCAAATCTAAAAAACGACAGGCCTCCACTTGATATGGCAATCGGAAGGGCTGCAATGAAAAGTATTAAGTTAGAAAAATACTTGAATCTTTCATTGAGTCGTGGTTGTGGTGGTTGTCTTGTATGTTCATCAAGTAACGGTTGTTCCTCACTTCTTTGGATCGAAAATTCTCCTCCTGGGTTGCTTCCTCTGGATCCTTGGTAATTTGAGGGCACTAGTTCATCAGTTTCGTTTTCACCCTCTTCCATGGTTCGAATTTCATTTTCACTGGAATTACTTCCGTTTTCAGTTGCTTGCTCTTCACCGTCTCGTTGATAATCTTGACCATCAGTCACCCAAAACAATTTTCTTGTACGCCTCATCCACTCGAGTGTGATTAATGGTCCAATAAGAAACCAGAAATATAGCCTCTTTAAGTAAGAGTCCATTACACTCAGTTCATCTGTTTGCGGCGGGCGATACGAGTCCGGACACACAATGTCAACATAGGTCCGATCTGCCTCGGAAAGGATTCGGCCTAGTTTAATCTGGTCGACGGTTGTATAGGCTTCCGCCACTGGAATCATTAATAACGCTTTGCTCGTACTGTTCGGGTTTAATCTCGCTGTGGTATCAAAATATATCAGCAAGGAATAACCTGCATTCTGTACGTTCTCTGCAAGCTCTTGTAACGTACATCTACTTTGATGCTTATGCACTAGGGTGACAAGAGCGATTTTGGGAACTTGAGTCCTTACTTTGCTCACATCATCCAATGATTGACATGCATTTGTGAGATTCAAAAAGACAGCAAAACCCTTCAGTGAATTGCCTGTTGCTGATGCCCGAATAAAAGACTCGACAGAAGGTAATTCAAGTCCAATGCTCAACGCAGACGTCCCTAAAGTAAACTCCATTATTCTGGGATCATTCCAATGCTGCGGTCGCGGACGCAATAACAATTTCGGGAGAGCCGTTTCATAATGTAACCGTTGGAATAAAAGAAATAACGACCCAGTTACAAGTGACAACACAAGGGATATAACCACGAAGCAAAGGCAGAAGCACTTTCCCGTCATCTTTGAGGCAGCACTAAAAAATCGGCGTCCGGAATCCGGAATCGGCAAACGAAAACGGAAACGGAATTACGGAATCACGGAAACGGAATTATGGAATCACGGAAACGGAAACAGAAACGGAATACGGAATCCGTGGAAGAAGGTTCCAAGCGATCGATTTGAAAAAAAAAATATTAGCAGTGACAATAAAATAAATAAATAGATTTTAAAAAAAAGACATAAATGAATAAATTAGCTGAGTAGAGGAGACTGCCGATAGTAACGACCCCCCGAAATTAACGTCAATTTTTTGTGTCCGCTAGTAAATCCCGAAAGTAGCGGCCCCCCGAAAGTAGCGACCCTCCCCTGAAAGTAGCGACCTCCCGAAAGTAGCGACCCCCCCCCCCACAAAGTAGCGTGACCAAGTTTTTTAAATTGTATACCGTACACCTTTAATTTGTCAATCAATATTCAAAATTTTAATGTACAATAATATGTTCGTGCAGTGTCACAAATTGTCCACGATAAGGCACTTTAATATGCAACAAGGGGCAGCTTTATGCCCCTATTCATCATTGACATCAGTTCACTGATGTAGCGATGTAAGAACTACCGTAAACCGGCATACTTTCGTACAACAACAGGAACGTTTCTTCAAATTGAAATTGAAAACTCTATATAATTTTCGTCGATTAACATCAACGTGTTTCTTCCAATTAAATGACTCTTAGATACCGGTACGGGGTACAGACTAAAACGCAGCGGTGCGTCATGCAGGACAATCGAAGCAGTTTAGCTTTCCACCTCTGTGTCAATGAAGAACTCGATCTCCTCTAATATCGGCTGATTCACCCATGCGGTAGTCTGGTAAACCATCGATACCATCGGAAAAAAGGCTCACGCCAGCTCTATTTGTAAACGATCTTTGTTCCCCGAAAGTAACGACCCCCCGAAAGTAGCGACCCCCAAAGGCTGCTAAGTAACGAGGGTCGCTACTATCGGAACCCTACGGTGAAAAGACTCTTGATACCACTTACGGCAATGAATGCAAATTCTCATGGGACAGCAAAGCGAGGAGAAAAACGTTACTGACAAGAACTAGTTCCTTAAGAAAAAGGTAAGTTATATGGAGACAGACTTCGTTTAAATCGACAGAGGCGTCGTTTATATAACTGACAGGCGTCGCCGTCAAGTTTTTCCTGAGTGTCTTTTCTGGGTTGTCTTCAACAGTGTTCAGTTTTATTTATCAAGACAACTTACTCAAGAGAACCATGGAATTGTGGAGTCCAAAGAGAAGAGAGAACTGTGCATACATTTTCTTGATTCCGCAACTGATTACATCAAAATAATGCGCCATGTTTAATAAGCCGCTTCAAGAAAAATAAGGACGTCCACGTAAACTCAATTACCGGTACACCAGGTATTCCATCAGTATTCAGCTTGGCGAAAAAGTTGAACTTATTGCCAAAACACCGGAACTGTGGTCACGTCACCGGTCGGTCATGTGTGGAGTATTCAGTTTGGGGACAATCACGTTGTGTGGTCTGAGGCCAACTACTACTATTCTTGACATTTAGCTACAAAGGTAATATTTAACTGTATAATTATTCAACCCATAAACTCGTGAATAAAAATTACTCGTAATATAACTTTCATCGGCCTTGCAGTGCAATAACCCACACTACGGCAAACCTTATCAAGACATAATAACAAGAATATATTTAAGGGAACTGCTAAGAAAACTAAAACAAATTGGCTTTGGATTGTACTAAATTATGCAATGTGAAATCAGTCTTTATTTTTCTATCATTGATATTTGATTTCGTATTTTGTTTCCGTTTCTGTTTCCGTTGCCATTTACATACTCGGATTCCTGATTCCAGTCCTTAGTGGGATTCCGGATTCCTTAAGTTGCGTTCCGGATTTCAAAGCCCAAGATTCCGGATTCCACGGTAAAAATTTGCTACCCGGATTCTACAGTAAAAAATATCCCTGATTCCGGAATCCATGGGCTCCTGACTCTAGCAATTTGATGGGAAACTAATTTACACTAAGGGTGTGAACGGCACTGTTTAGTGTTTACTCCATTTTGGTAAGTCTGACCCACACGCCAACCACTCTTTGATCGTGTGGTAGTCTTTTGTTATTATTGAAATCTGAGCATCGAATTTTGTACTCAATCAGAAATACAGATCTCGGGGAACGTACCACCCTATCTGGCTATTTTCGATATATTTAAATTCATACTTGGCTGCGAGGAGTTGAGAGAATAAAACAAAAGAAATATATTATTCATTACTGAGCCTCAATATGATTTCTTTTGTTTTATTCCCCCAAGCCTCGCAGTCAAGTATGAATTTTAATATATCGGAATTGGTCTATTAGGGTGAAGCAAAGAGACGGATGATATTTCAGACTAATACTGGGAGGTTCCGTCCGAAATGGGTTCCTTTGTAAGCCAGGTATGGAAATCTGTCATTTTGGTCTGTAAAAAAAAAACAAAACAAAACTTTATCAGGCTGTGAAATAGTCGAGAAAACGTTCTCTTTATTTGGGGTTTTAATATCTATATTATTACTTACAACAGTCAAAAGGCATGCAAGGTTCTACTATAGGTATGTGAATGGTCGTACAATTTGTTAACAGAATGTATACCAAAGGGGTACCTTTTCTATTAAAAATGGTACATAAAAGGGTATAAGAAGTCGGACTTCGGGGACGACTACCCCCGGGCCATCTAATTGCCGCGTCACATGAGCTTCATCGACAACTTATCACAAAAACGAAGAACCCTCTTGAACCAAAAATTTGTGTAAATAAAGGTAGAATTAAAGTCAGAATTAAAGTCACAAAGGCTACTGCAAAGACTGATCAAACAACGTGAAAAAGGCTGAGGTATACAATATTTCGACTGGCCAATACAAGTATTTTACAGTAGTATATATTCTGTATATTAGTTTTTTTTCCTAATAAACCAGATGAAGACTGGTATTGGCCTGAGGTTTAGGATGCGGTTTATTTTAGACGATGACTGAAATAACGCACAAAGTTGACCGCGCTTCGGTCGTTTGGCAATGATGTAATTTTCCCCGAATCGAGGCCCTTGATTTTCGTGCAATTATACACGCGTATTAAAAAGTAAATACCGGTACTTTGAAGAATACTCGACCGTCGATAAAGTAGGATGTGAGAAAATATTAAAGCGGGGACATCCTGTTTTGTGGTGTATTGACGCGTTACGTTCTCAGAATATTGACGCAATTACTGAAACTTTGCGGTTAAATAGATTCGATATTGCAGATTCACTGTGTTATATTTATTTAACTGATAGATTTTCGCAGTTGTTAAGATGTGAAGTCGAGTTGCACTATATAAATATTTGAGATATCAATGATTTAACCTTCAACTACTACTGGAAGAAACTTCAACTACCCGTCTGACATTACGTATGTGTCACGCATGTGTTTGTACGGGTAGCTTTGTACTTGAATGTCACGCACTCTACTTGCAGCACTTCTTGTTCATAGAAGAGAAAGCTGCGAAAGATGTGGAGCCTTTCCGGAACGGGTCAGTCCACGAATTCTATCGTTTGAAAGCGTTGATTACTTTGGAACACGGCATTGATTACTTCAGTGGTGGAAAAAAAAATCTTAACGAGCAAAACTTCGAAGGTGAGGGTAACTGGTTGGGTGTTGAAAACTCTCATTGTATGCTAATGGTCTTGTGATAAGCATGCGGTTTATTTTCAGCGATGCTTGAAATGACGCGCAATTTTCACCACGTTTCCTTGATTGTGGAGATACGCCCTACGTGTCAGGCGTGAAACTCTTACTCTATTGTAACGCTACGCTAAATCAATTTGAATAAACCCGACTGTTCTGCAGTCTAAATTTATAGGGTTAGGTCAGATGTTTACGGTAGTAGATACCCGCAGAAATGCCAAAAATCACCTTTCCTCAAAAAAGGATTCGAGCGGCTAACAACCCTCTCAGGTATGTCTATTTTGTAACTATGGCGCTCTTTATGGCTTATTTCAAAATGCGCGCCACAAAAATTGGTCGATTTGAATTGCACGCCAGAGTCTATTGTTTGTTTATACATACCGTACATACATTTGCCTGAGTCGCAGACCTCTCTAAACCTTCTATATAGAGCGTCTGCGAATTAGTGCTCAATCAGAGGAAGAGTGAATGTTTTCCCACAATGCATTGCGACTCAAACTAATATATCAAGATTTTCGTGACGTCATCATTCGGCTCAGACGCTTGAACAAGTCAGAGCAACATGGCGAAATGTGTTGTTAGGAATTCGTGGCTATGACAGATCCGCTACCTTTCAAAGGACGATTAGTCTATTCGCCGTTTTGGTCAGGGATGCATTGAACTTGTTTTTCGTAATGCTCGTGTAATTTCTCTCGTGCTCAATAATGTGCTCGAGTCCCTCAGAGTCGAAAGGAAATATGTCGGCATTTTTGATTGGCTAGTTTCTTACGCGCAGTTTGTGACTAGTCCGATTTGAATTAACCGCAAACACGACTAATAGCTCGTGACAAGAGAGATTGAGTTGGTGATGGTGTGAAACGTGACCTTAGATTCAGCTTGAACAACAGAGGTTTTCCTTGCTCTCTTTTTGCGTAGTTTATGCAGTGCATGGAGTATTCTACACTTTCACTGAGCAATCCTTTTTTGCCGCTTCTAGTCTCTCATTTAGAGGTTATGAAGCTAGTCTGTTCTATGCATACTGATAATTAGTTCCTGAGGTTTATGCTTTCTAATAGGATTGATCACATGTGCAGTTTACCATTAATTGATTTTCTTTTACCTCTGTTTAAGCTTTAAGCTTTTCGAATGCGGCTAAATAACCTTGGTTTCTTTGGTTGTCTCCGAAAAGCATGGGCCTGAATAGCTACATGTGTGTAGTTTTTTTTTTCGCCTCGAATATGATGATTCAGGGGCACCCAAGGACTGTTTTCTGTGAAACATCTGTTCGGAGAAGCAACTATTGCCTAGAGCTTTCTATAGCCTGTGTGGCCGCCGTTAAAAGGGAAGGGGAAGGGGGAATTTGGGCGCGCGAGGGAGAAAGGAAAGGAAGATTCCTTTCCTTTCTCCCTCGCGCGCCCAATTTCCCCCTTCCCCTTTTAACGCCAGCCACGCAGGCTAAGCTTTCTATTACTTGAGGACGGCTAAAGATAGCCTGTTCCAGGCGTTCAGGTATAGGCTAAAAATTTCTACTTGAACGTTTCACTCATGTACAATTTTTGAAGCTTGTCTATTCCTTACGATTTTCTGAAGTTTAATTTTCACATTTCACTTCCTAAGTTAGGCTATTTTTCGAAGAGAAAAGGATACCTAAAATGTTCGGACTTAAAATTGCTATGGAGTGAGAAATCAGAAAATATCTCACTTTCACAATACGTCAAATTGCATCTAAAATTTTTGGGAAAATAATACTCAAGCCCTTGTAATTTCTAAGAGACTCAAGTTCCCCTAGGATGACCGAACAGATACAAATTTTATAGCACCGCTTAGAATGCATTTCCAGACATCCAAGAGTACTCGGGATAGCCCAAATAGTGTTCTCAACGTATTTAGGAGGAAACCGTCGTTGGGTGCCCCTGATTGATTTTCTGATTTGTGTTTACGCTAGAACTGTCGGCTAGATTGCAGAATTGGGGGTTTTCACTGTCACACAATCAAAAATAAAATTGCAAACCATTCAATACAGAAAGTCCAGAACCTAGGAAAAAAGAGGAGATAAATATGCATAAGGCCTCGCCAAGAATCAGGTCTGTGCGATATTTCATATGCGAGATATTCGGAAAAACGTTTTACTCAAATTTATGAGGCTTTGTATGGAGATGGAGACGCCATGTTTGTGTCCCTTTGAGGGGCACAAATATGGCCGCCAGAAACCAACAGAAACATCTGTTTTTGAGTTTTCCTACTAATGCGTGAATTCATGGCTTGAAAAACTCATAAAGGATTAAAGTGATATTTATTCTGAGACAAAGAATGTTTAGATAGCAAAATCTCCCAAAATTGGTAATGCTTTTAACCCAGAGAGTCTTCCCGGCCGGCCAGCTAAATGTCGCGTTACGCAAAAGCCTAGAAATTCAAATGTCCTCTATCGCAAAACAAAGAACTCTTTCGAACCAAAACTTTGTTTAAATAAAGGTGTTTAGGTGCTGTAATACCTCGTGAAACTCAGAAACTCAGAAGAATTCTAAATTCTAAATTCTAAATTCTTAGTTTGAATTTTGGTGACGTCATGTGAAAACCGAGACTGCAGCGATTGGAGGACGCTGGAAAACCAGTCGGCAAATTTACAAGCAAATTCTGCCTTGAAGGAATTCTCTCAAAGCATTGTCTTGTTCAGAAGAAGGCTTTAAACTATGAACTGCTCTTTCATTGTTTACTGTAACTGCCTTCTGTGAAATATATTGACATGCCTGACTGCACCTAATCGTCACGCACACGTAAGAATTACGCAAATCACGAAGCACATGAATGAATTAAGCTTTATTTAATCTCGGGTTGATGAGGTTGGTTAGACCTCTAGTTAAAATATGCTAACAAGCCGAGAAAAAAAAACAAATCAATAAAATAATAGAGAAAGCCAAGGGGGAAATCCAAAAACTGGTATACAGTTTAAAGCCTAACATTACGTGAGATAGCTATTTACAATAAAAAGCCTAATTACATAATAGAATATAGATATTATTAAGAATTAGCTAGAACCTTAGTTGGCGGACTGCTGCAATACAAGAAACTGCTGCATGCAAGAAACCCGTAAGAAATCCGCCTATCAGAAACACTCACATATGTCCTTGCGACTCTGCAGGATATTAGTCATAATAATAGAACGAGCTTTTGTGCACTAGCCTGTCAACAAGCTCTGTGTTTGGGGAAAAAAATAGCGAGGAAAGGGAAGGGAAAGGGGGTTTTAATATCTTTAATATCTTTAATAGGTACCGTGTTTAAATTATGTATGTATGTCTGTATGTTAGCCTGCGTTGCAGTCGGCCCACTCACTCGTCGAAACCATTAATCTGCGAATTAGCCACCCACGCACTTCGTCCCTCCCTGGGGAGGGATGAAATACGAGCTCCTGCAAAACCGCCTGCGTGGGAGGCTAATTCGCAGACGGACTGTACAAATTAATGGTTTAGACGAGTGCGTGGGCCGGCTGCAACGCAGGCTAACATACATACATAATTTAAACACGATAGCTATTAAAGATATTAAAGCTTGGGGGATCGCACGTGATTTGCAGGTGACAGGGATTCATCGAGTAACGAAAATGACATAACTTCTATGTAGAGCTTCGCGTAATTCAATTGCAAAGTAATGGGGGTTAAAAACCTGACAGAAATTCTTCATTTTCACTCCATTCCTCGTTTGAAGGAAGGGTAAGGTGACGTCATGCTGGCGGTGACGCGGACCGGTTGAAACAAATGACACTTCCGCCTAATCTCGTACCCAGATCTCCCACGGCCAAGGGAAAGTGTAAAACAGAGTGAGATCTGGGTACGAGATTAACTTCCGCCCTCAAAGACGCTCTCGCAGACCACAGCTGCATTAAGGATAATACTTCTTTCTTCGCGAAACTATACAGAGCCAGGCACAATGGCAGGTGCTACTACTAGTTTGACACCCTCGAAAAACCCCTCATACGCTGATCATGACTTTAGAGTAAGCAAGGAGAACCTGTATATGGTTATTGCCAAGCACATGGAAGAGTTTCCAGTCGAACGATCGGATATTGGTGAATATAAAAGAGTCGGAGCTGTGCTTGTGTTGCCTAATGACATGATTTATGCTGTGGATTGTTCGCGCAATGGCGTACACGGCGTGGCACGACTGTTAATGGCACACCAAGATAACCTTAAAGATTGCAAGGTTTTCGTGTCTAGAAAACCATGTTCCCTGTGCACGAAGCTACTGGTGCAGTCTAAAGTGAAGAGGGTCTTCTACCTGCCGATTGAGCCTGAGTATGATTATTTGCGGCATAGAAAGGGTAAAAAGGCCGCTGATTTTAACCACGAAACGTCGCGTGTCGATGAGCTGTTCAAAGTAAGTTCGATTGGCCAGACTGTGTTCGTTCCAAGAGCAGGGCAAGAGGTTACCGATGTCGCTGAAAGTAAAAGAAAGACGCCGGAGAAGGCTAGAAAGGCCAAACAAAAAGATCTCATGAAGAAGTACTGGAATGATAAATGGATGAAAGTCGCTCAAAGGAAACTTCCGTGGCCTGCCTTCGATGACAACATGATAGCTCAGGTGTACAAAGATTTTGAAAGCATCACAGAATGGATGGCTCACGTTCTCATCAAATCAGAGATAGGAGATTCGTTTGAAGCCTTGACGAGGAAGAAACGCAAGTCATCTGACCCGTGCAGAAACCCTTTGGAAAGCGAGCAAGCAATTCACCTAATGAAACTAGCATTCTTTCTAGCCGAGCGAACAGATGATCCAAGAAAGGGAGTCGGAGCAGTGTTAATAAACAGACATAAAGATATCGTAGGATTGGGTTGGAACGGATTTCCGACAAAATCTCTCTACGGCGAGTTCCCAAGAGCCGCCGACAAAGACCCACCCGTGGGGGGTAAAGCAGACAAGAAGTATCCATATATCATCCACGCTGAACAGAACGCGCTACTACTGCGAAACACCAAGAACATCGTAGATGCAACCCTGATTGTAACGATGACACCATGCGATGACTGCACTCCTCTGATTGAGATGCAAGGGATCAAAACAGTTGTTTTGGGAGAAAAGATGCGACGGGATACAAGGGGACTGATGAACTTTACAAAGTTTCCACAGAGGGTTGATGATAAAGATGACCCGATTGTGTGCTTTGAACTTCAAAAACAGCCGCAGTCCCAGAAAAGAAAAGCTGATGATGACTCTAGCGGTGAAACGGAAGAAATGAAGTCAGCTCGTAAACACCTCTTCACCGAAACTTAAACATGATTAAAATTAGGAAAATTTGGACTTTTAAGAACTTTTCACGGTTCATTTATCCCGCTCGTTTTAAGCTTTTCTGATGTATCTGTAGTCATTCATATTTTACTCGTATTACTCTTTAGTTTTACATATGGCAACTTTTTTTGTATTTAATCGCATTTACTCAGTCAAGTGCATTTGCTCAGTAATCGGAGTCACGTTCACAAAGTGCTACATAAGGAAATTAGTGGACCTGCAAAGACTAATCGGTTACATCTAAGACTCCTTCATCTCCGTGAGAGAAAGATTAACGATTTTACGCTGTTTCAAGAAACTTGGAGTAGTAGGCTAGGAGTAGAAGTTAACATTACAGTCAACTGGAATAAAGTCATTTCAAATCTGTAACAAACAGTCTCCAAATAATTATCATGAATTAAGCGTAGAAAATTAAGCTTAATTTCCTTGTTTAGCGAAGGTTTTCAGGGGCGTAACCAGGATTTTTCCCGAAGGATGCACAATCTTTCAAATCTTCCCCCCCCCCCCACCCCCGCCTTAACTAAAAAATCTGTACCTTGATTAAAGGTTTGTAATCTAGGCTTTTGCACATTATACTAGCATTTTTTCTGGGCATTTTAGTAAGGCAAAAGCATAAAGCATTATTCGAACATTTTAGTAGCATTTGCCAGGACAATTGTAACTTTTTTCACAGAAGATAAAAGTAAAAAAATTAACAATTTTCTTAAAATTGAATTATCCAGAGAAGTTGATCGATTCTACTTTAATACGATTATCAAATATATTTTAAGATTTACTGTAGCTCTGCCATTGATTTTTGCATGTGTTATTCTGGTAATATTTTGTTGCAATAATTTAACTGAGGGAGCATTCCTTATAAGCCCAGTGGCTTCCCTTGGGCTTGCTTTTTAAATATTTAGATTTTATTGTTTCTTGTTCATACTTATGGCAAAACAAACTGAAACTGACACTGAAACCTTAGATCGTTTACGCCCGCACTCACTAACTTTTGGTTATTAATGATTAATAACTTTATTAATACATATCACACACTGGAAGAAAAAATACACAAGAACAGGAATAGAAGAAGGCTTTAACTAAAATATAATTACAATACAATTAAATCAAGAAAGAAAAGGTCAGTCAGAAAAAATACTTTCAACTGAAATACAATACTTGGCAACTAATTTCAAATATTTAAACAACTAATAATTCCTATAAACCACACCAACAAATACAAACAAATACACCTAGTATAGTCGCATAAAGTGTATAGATTATGCGTAGGCTAATTAACTACTCAGAAAAAGTACAGTCTTAAGTTTTTTTTAAAAGTTACTTACTGTGAGATTATTGCGCACAGTTAACGGAATATCATTCCAAATAATAGGATCTTGCCAAGTGAAGGCAAATTGATACTTATGACAGGTTTTATACCATGCATCATCCGATTGCTTATTGGTTGAAAACAAAAGCAGTTTGAAGACTTCATTTGACAGGGAAAGTCCCTAACCAAGACAGAATAACTGCCCTAACAAGTTCCTATTTTTCCGAGAACGTCACGCTCTGTTAATTCTTTCCTGTTTGATTATGCGAATATTCAAACGCACTTCAATTTCAAAAAACATATAGGTTTTCCAGAACTTCGCTGGTGCCACAATCAATCAATAAATTTCATTATATTGCGCTGGTACCGCCAATTACTATAATATCGGATTCCACTCAGTCTAAATCCCTGACTATATACGGGTCGAATGACAACGCAGGCTAACAGTGAGTCAGTGACGTCAAACTGGCGGTGATGTTGCAATGATAAGTCCTTAGAGACGCCACACCCTTCCCAGTATTACAGCCATAAACTGCTTTGTTTCACAGAAATCAGAGTCTAGAAAAAATGGACGCAAAGGAAGAAACTGCTCAGCTGACTGCTATTAGTTCGCCCTCGCAAAGCATCTCTTATGCTGATCGAGACGTCCGAATAACTAAGGAGAACCTGTATATGGCTCTTGCTTTGCACATGGAAACGTTTCCAGTCGAACGAGAGGAGGAGATTGGTGATTACCACAAAGTTGAAGCTGTGCTTGTGTAGCCCAATGACATGATTTATGCTGTCGACTGTTCTCGCAATGGCGTACACGGTGCAGCCAGACTGTTAATGGCACACCAAGGTATCCTTCAAGATTGCAAAGTTTTCGTGTCGAGAAAACCATGCTCCTTGTGTACAAAGCTTCTGGTTCAGTCTAAAGTGAAGAGGGTCTTCTACTTGCCGATCGAGCCCGAGTATGGGAGAGTAAGTCAGCTCGATCGGCCAGTCGGTGTTTGTTCCAAGGGTTGAACAAGAAGTTAGAGCCGCTTCTGAGAGGAAAAAATCGGTTTCCAAGACGAAGACAGAGGCCCTACAAAAGCAACTCATGAGTGATTACTGGAATAATGATGAATGGATTGACGTCGCTCAATCGAAGCTTCCATGGCCCGCCTTTGACGTCAACATGAGCGCTCAGGTGCACAAAGATTTTCAAAGCATCGCGAATTGGATGGCTCACGTTCTTATCAAATCAGAGATGGGTGATTCGTTCAAAGCCTCAACGGACAAGGAATCTAAGTCATTTGACCCGTGCAGAAACGATTTGGAACGAAGGCAAGCCATTCACTTAATGAAACTAGCATTCTTTCTAGCTGAGCGAACAGATGATCCACGAAAAGGAGTTGGAGCAGTGATAGTAAACATCTGTAAAGATGTTGTAGGTTTAGGTTGGAACGGATTTCCAACGAAATCGCTGTATGGCGAGTTTCCAAGAGCCGCCGACAAAGACCCACCCGTGGGGGGTAAAGCAGACAAGAAGTATCCATATATCATCCACGCTGAACTGAACGCGCTACTACTGCGGAACACCAAGAACATCGTAGATACAACCCTGATTGTAACGATGACACCATGCGATGACTGCACTCCTCTGATTGAGATGCAAGGGATCAAAACAGTTGTTTTGGGAGAAAAGATGCGACGGGATACAAGGGGACTGATGAACTTTACAAAGTTTCCACAGAGGGTTGATGATAAAGGTGACCCGATTGTGTGCTTTGAACTTCAAAAACAGCCGCAGTCCCAGAAAAGAAAAGCTGATGATGACTCTAGCGGTGAAACGGAAGAAATGAAGTCAGCTCGTAAACACCTCTTCACCAAAACTCAAACATGAATAAAATTAGCTAAGTTTAGACTTTTAAGAACTTTTCATTTCATTTATCCCGCTGTAGTTATTCATGTTTTACTCGTATTTCTCTTCAGTTTTACATTTGGCAACTTTCTTGTATCTAATCGCAGTTATTCACTCAAGTGCATTTGGTCAATCGTGATCACGTGCACAAGGTACTATATAAGCAAATGAACATGACTAATCGGTTACATCTAGGACTCATCCAACGAAAAACAGTGAGCATTATACTTGTAAACCACGATTTCTGTCAAATTGCGTGATTAGCTTGAATATTGGTTCAACATGCACAGCGGCACGCGTATCAAGTATGACAGGACTTGTCAACGATCCATTAAAAAATTAGCATAGAAAAAACTTTTGCACTCCATAAGTCTGCACAGAAAAAACATTTTTTCCTGGAATTTTTTTTAAAAGAAAGCTCTTAATGCGCTCTATTTAATCGTCTAAAAATTGCAAATTTAGAAAAAGGATTGTTTTTTACCCTGGGTGATACCTTAACAACCAGTGCGAGGATTCTAACGTACTTTGGTAGAAACCAAACTTGGGGAAATTCGGGAAAATTCTAACAACACTGCGCTGTTACAACTAAATTAAGGTACATGTGCGTGGTGGCGGAGAGAAAAAAAAGGATTTCAACCTGCGAAATGGGTCAAAAAATGGTTGGGAGGTAAATGTTGAATCGTTTCCGGGTGAAAAGAGAAGAACGAAAGGGATATGAAGGATCCTTTCCCTTCTTTCGTACTCGCCGCTCATCTCCGCGTTTCGTGCCTGTCTAGAAAAAATCCTCTCCCCCTTTCCCTCGCTAGTATCTGCCACGTAAAGAGCTTTTTCACTCACGTGGCCAGTAGTTGGCAAATTTATTAGAGCAAAAGAAACATTTTACACAAGGAAAAGGTTCAAATCGCACCAGACTGGTTGGGGATCCTCCAACATGGCTCCGCTTCATATATTTTTGGGACACCAATATGCGGACGTGACGTCATGTGACAGTACCTTATGTATGCGAATGTTAGCTATAATGTCAGACAGGTAATACATCTTTCTCAAGGTATTTTGATCTCCTAACAAGAATTTGGTTCTTGGCTGACTGATATACATCAAGTATTGGGTATATCTCAAGTTTTCTGATATACCTCACGTTTTTACCGCGGAGTTGGTAGCGTGTGCTTCAGTACAGTGCTGAATTTGGTGAAGGAAACAAATGATGCTTCCATGGTTACACTCCCTGCACGCTACAGTTACTTAGTTACTTAAATCCTTTTGATCATCATTAGTAGCTCGGCAAACAACCATATATATTGGCCCCAAATAAATCATCCCTTTGCCGTATTGCCAGCCTGCTTGCATTCAGTTATGTTTTAAATTAATTTCCCAAATATATAAAGAGGACTCTAACATATATGAGAAACACCTATGTAACAACCCCTGGATGTAAGAACCCATGAACATAGAACCCCTTAACTTAAGAACCCATAAACGCAAGAACCCCTCGACGTCAGAACCCCAGAGGGTAAAAACCCCTGGAATTAAGAACCCCTCGTTGTAAGAACCCGCGAACGTAAAAACCCCTGAACGCAAGAAATGCATCTAAGAACCCCTGGATGAAGAAGACATGAACGTAAGAGCCCCTGGATGTAAGAACCCCTGGACGTTAAGAACCCTTGGACGTAAAAGCCCCTGGATGTAAGAACCCTGAATGTAAGAACCCTTGGACGTAAGAACCCCTGGATGTAAAAACCCTAGGATGTAAGAACCCCTTGACGTAAAAACCCCTTCATGTAAAAACCCCTGGACGTAAAAACCCCTGGATGTAAACTCCTGAATGTAAGAACCCCTGGATGTAAGAAGCCCTAAACGGAAGAACCGCTGTGCGTACGACCCCTGAACGTAAGAAGACGTGAACGTAAGAACCCTTGAACGGAAGAACCTATGAGCGTAGAACTCCTAAACGTAAGAACCCACGAACGTAAGAACCAATGAACGTAAGAACCCCGAAACGTAAGAACCCATGAACGTAAAAACCCATCAACATAAGAACTCCTGAACGCAAGAACCCTTAAACGTAAGAACCCCTGAACGTAAGAAGACAAGAAGGTAAGAACCTATGATCGAAAAAACCCATGAACGTAAAAACCCATGAACGTGAAAACCCATGAACGAAAGAACCCATGAACATAAAAGCCCATGAACGTAAGAGTCCATGAACGTAAGAGTCCATGAACGTAAAAGCCCTTGAACGTAAGAGTCCATGAACGTAAAAACCAATGAACGTGAAAACCCATGAACGAAAGACCCCATGAACGTGTAAAAGCCCATGAACGTAAGATCCCATGAACGTAAGCAATAAACGTAAGAACCTATGAAAGTGGAACCCCTGAACATAAGAAGACCTGAATGTAAGAACCCATGAACCTTTACAAATACTCATGTCCGCCAACTACCCAGCTAATGAGAAATGTTAAAATGTCAAAATAAGCCGTGTAGGTGGCTTTTACGCATTCGCTATGTATTCTTTCTCTGTTTCTGTGTGCACTAAGCCATGTGATTAGAGACTTTGAGACGGAAACGAGTGAATTGAAATGAGTGAATTTGCGTTCTTTTGGTCTTTATCTCGATTACTGTACTCCTACCCACTTACTTTGTCTAATGTAGGCGAACCTTCCAAAAGTTGAATTCCATGGGACCGTATCGAAGTTCAAAAAGAGAAACAAACTTTCGTCGTTGCTTGTTTACGTTCTCCATAAAATGCGAAATTAGGCATTATCGAGTTGTAGTCGTGCAAAAACGGCAAAGCAGTGCCCAAAAATGGAGCGATGCACGTGCAAAGTTGTCGTTTTGCTAATTAAGCCTATTGTTTCTCGTTGTCGTCCTGTCGTTGGATCTATTGACGTGGTTGACGTTAACTGTCAGAATTGACCAATCATAGGGTATACCAAGACCGCTTACCATCTGGATGGAAAACCCGGAAATTTCGGGGAGAATTCAAATGGACTCTTCATCCCGGAGGAAATTTTCCGGGAAAAAAGTAATACCTTTCGAGGTATTACCTTTTTCCGGTTTTTACCGAAACGACCGAAATTTTCTGTACCATTTGTTTGGATTACCAGTGGAAGGCTTTAAGTCGAGAGAGAGAGAAAAATTTACCTGTATTTTGTAAATGGTACAACTCAATCCCGTTCCTGTTTTCGGTACCAAAAAAAAAGCCAGTCCCATTTGACAGAAATTTTTCAACGAAATTTCCGTACAAACGGTAAGCTGCAGCTCCCCTGCAGTTTTCGCGCAATTTTTCTCAGTGCACTTTCCCCTCTATCTTGGAGCCTGGAAGAACCTAGGCTTAAGTGGGTGGAAAAAGTTGGACCTAGATATTTAGTAATTCTGGGTGTTTTTTTTTCTGCGACATACTACTAGACAACTAGGTATTTTGATCTTCTGACGAGAATTTCGTTCTGGTATACCTCAAGTTTTGGGGGAGAAGCTGAGGGTTTTTGTCGACAAACAAAGAACACAACAAATGATCTAAAAACCAAAGTAAAAACACGAAAGTGATGGTCGTAAGTGCGTTTATTTTAAGCCATGAACAGGAACTTAACAACTCTGCCAGGCCTGATAAATTAACCTCTCGCTTACAACGAGCGAATATCAAGTAATGGCGGCGTCTCACAATAATTACTTCAGATCCTGACAAAAATCAGTTCTTGTACAATAAAAGTTTAAGAATTGTTTAAATTTTGCATTACAGCAAGCTTTGCTAGTGGCAGCCAGAATCGAAAGGCTTGCAAACGGTTAATACTTGGTACAGGTTTTTTGGATATAATTCCACAACAGAATCGAACGAAATAACTGCGCTTATAGCTTTGTAGTTTTCGCAAAATCAAGCGTTTGCTCGAATAATGACTTGTAAACGTTTTGAACATTCAAACGCTATATTTTTCCGTAAATATATTGAACAGTTTTTGGGTAACGCTGGAAAGTATGAAGTAAAATGCATGTTCTACAGCTTGGTTTATATCCATAAGAAGATAAGCAGTAACTACGAACCCCTAAAGCCCCAAAATTTAGATTGCGAATCTCCTTCTGGTAAAATATTTTGTTACAGTGTTTCTATAAAGAGAAAGGAAAATGATCGCAGTGTTAATTTTTTTTCATTTTGATAAATGTGTGTTTGGGCCTTCAAGGGTTATTCTAAAGACGTACGAGGCGTAGCAGACCAATATTAAAGCATTCGTATAAATCATAAAATAAACAAAATCAAAATGTTGGCTTACAAACTCGGCGATTTTAGAACGAGGACCATGACGATCCTAACACAGAAACTTACAAAAATATTCTAGAGGTTCTATGTCAAACCTTTACGAAATTTACATTTACTTAGAAAACTTGAGTCGATGTGGCCTGCAGCCTGCCTCGTTCTATATAAAATAATTCAACATTTTCATCTCGCCAGCTGACCATAAATGTGATCGTAGTGGTACAAGACTGAGAATCTAGAGTCTATTTTAAGTTATTTTTACAAAACTATTTGACTACAAAATGCATTTTTCAAAACTTAGTTTTGACTATTACTTAAAGTAAACTTGAACCAACATTAAACGTTGAAACGTAAAAGTTTTTTTTTCTTAGTCACACGAGAATGTGTCGAGACTCACCTTTGTTCAAGTTGAACTACAGGGCCATTTAAATATTAAATTAAATAGTTTACTTACATATATACAGCTTTAAAAACCATTTAAATACCTTTGTGAAATTATTTACAACTTGGCCTCTGAACAAAACCAGCACCACGGTATCTCGATGCTTTAAAACATTTTTCTCTCTCTATAAATAAATTATTTCAGCCGCCATATTCTAACTATTCGAGTAATAGAAAATTGCTTTAAAAAGCTACACTTTTGTGGTATTAATAAATTAACAATAGCGAATATTTCATTCATTTCTCTATGAATTACCGAAGGCTATAATAATTGATCACGGATAACTATTCTATACAATTATTTCTATCTGTGTGCTGTTTCGCTGTACCCGAAATCTTCGCCATTCGTCTTTAGCACCCTCCTCCTTTGGGGAGAGGGGTGGGGAAAGAACTTGCGGCGTGGAACACACCGAGGGTGTTGAGTCGAGCAAACTTGCTCGGTTGTACTCAAAGTTTCTTAGCTCTGTTGAACGCGTTGACGCCGTCGTTGAAGACGACGCTGTCGAATCCGTTGAAGTCTGATTATAATAAGTTCTTGCAGTGGTCAGTGGCTTTTCTTGCGTTGTGTTCCTTTTCTTTTTCAAAGTTGTTCTTGTAGCTAGGCGAGTTTCTCGGTTTGCGCGTCTTCTTTCTCTCCATTTTCCTCTGATGCAAAGTATTAAAAGAAGAATGGCCGCCAACACAACAAGCGATGCAATTAATGGTATGAGATAGTCTGGAGCAGCTGTTGAAAGAACCAAAAACAACTTAAAATTCCTGTTGCGCGTAAAGTTAGCTCATTGTGTACTGTAACAGCCATGATATTGCCATAATAGAGCTTTAGATTCTGAGACGAGGACGACTACGAGTATTAAAGAGATTTTCTCAATACTTAGTATTGCTCGCGCGTGAACCAGCGTCATTTCGGTGGGAAAACGTGATAGTCGTCGTCATTCTACTATGAGTTTTAGCGAGAATGTCGTAGTGGCGGGAACAGGTTGTCAAATGGAAGAAGTTTTATCATTTTGCTATCAGGAGAGGGCTTAACCTCCTTCAGTATAAGAAACGGTACTAACGTTTTTTGGTGAAAAACGTGAAATGAAGCTTTCCGGGGTTTCTTTTTTTGGAGAACACGCGTAAAAAAATTAAGTTACTCTCGTACTCGTACTCACTCTCGTCATCAAATCTAAAGCTCTCTATCTACACTCTACACTTTGATGTTCAATAAATTACTTAGGGAGCTTATAACTATGTGTCTGTGTTAGCTTTCCCAAAAGTAACACCTAACCTCACAACCAGAATTCATTTTCTGAACTACCCAGTCTCCTTCCTTCGCAGCCGCTCGAGCCGGAGTCTCGCAACGCTTCCCGTCCTTAGGCGGCATTGCGTGTCCCCCCCTCCCCCCACGCGTGCCTATCTTTCTGCTAGGCTGGCTAAATGATGGGTTTATCGCCACTCTACCTTACGTAACCTCTAAACTGTCATGCGGACATGCTCAACACACCTTGTTCCTCATGAAAAGACAGAGTCACTGATCGCTCCACCGTCACCTCTTCAACGGCAATGAGTACGTTGTAAAGAGTAATGTTGATTTCCTCTTGTTTGTTGGAAGGTACTGCTCGGATGAATCTTGCTATGTCCACTGCCGCTTTTTGGGCCACTTCTGTGCGTCGCGTACTGGCCTAAAGAGGAGGAAAAGAGAGAAACAAATCGGTTAAAACTCGCAAGAGACGTTTCCAATGACTTGCACTTTGCAGAAGACCGTCGCGTCTCTTTTCACGGCTTTCAGGCCCCCCGACATTAAGGTGGATTTCCACTGTCGCGTAAATAAAATAGAGGCAATTTATGGAAGGTGACCCGTTAGCGTAAAAGTCAAACCTCGCTCAACTTCTACTTTCACGTGCTGGGTTTCGTACATCGCCTCTATTTAATTTACGCGCGTCAATTTTACGAACTTACATACGTAGAGAGATTTAGAGTGACGTTTACGGCAAACGGCAAAAGTCAGATTGTAGTTGAGAATTTCTCAGAATAGAAAATAAGCAGATAAAAGAGCAATTCCTATGGATAAAACTAGTGCGAAACTACTTATTACTGTTCAGAAGTAATTAACAGTAAGCGACAATTCAGGGGAAAACTTGGTCACGTGGTACAAATTCACGTATGCCGTTTGACGAAAACGTCACACTAAATCTACTTATTCTCTTTTCCAGGGCCCGTCGTTTGTTTTAGTCGCGGTCGCAACTAGGCTCAGTCTCCAGCCGTGGGTGTTTCGATGCGCCTGCGGTACTCCCCACGCGGGGGATAATGCCGAGTGGCTCTGAGGACGAGAATGGGTCCACGCTATCTTATGAACAAGAACTCTAAATTGAAGGGTGCGCGGGCAGGCCGCCAACAACAGGACCAATCCGAACGAAAAACAGGATTAATGCCTAGGCAGACAGATGAAAAGCTATTTACAAGAAAACCTACCACCGACACGACGACCGTGGAAGTGGAATCATCTTTGTCCTTTCCTTCACACAGTAACCGAATGTTTCCTGTCGTCGCCCACTTCTTCAACAACGGTAGGTATCGTAACTGGTGGCACAGTTCCTCCACAAGAGTTCCCTAAGATGGCAAAAACAAAAACAATTAATCCTTTGCGTTGATGACTCGACAAAATAACACTTCTGGTCGATAAACTAACGCGCCCAAATCTGATGAAACTTAATCTAGTTACCTTTGGAAGTTTTTTCATCTTGAACACGATATGGATCTTAGCACAGTCTGCATTCAACTCAGTACTGTTTGGAAGGCAAACCTCTCCACTGATTTCGGAGCCGCTTTGTTTAGAGGTAGTTCCGCCTCCACTGCACTCTGCCCACTGTTTACAAGGGGGGTTTAGGCATCCTACTTTTTCCTTTGGTACGCACTTTCCTCCTGGAGGGCATTTCCCAGCATCACTGATGTCCAAACAATTGCTCGCACCACAATCAATTCCAGTGCAATGACGCTCGCCATCGAAGCACAGGCAGCTATTGCAGTCCTCTTGTACTGTAGAGTTATGAAGCTGAATCGTACCGTCCTTGAGTTTGCAGTTTCTCGTGTCATTCTCATCATCTACAACAAAGGTTTTTTCATGTTAAAGCTTTAGAATGGCATGCTTCAGTAAAGCAATACACAAAAACATACAAACAAAATCACATTTGCTACTTAAGAAACGAGAAATGGAATTGGTGCCAAAATGTGTCCCGCAGTGGTTTCTGGGATCGCCTTTGGGGGCACAAGTCATAACAGTCCCAGAAGTCTTTGTTAGCTCGATCCTGTTTTCTTCTCGATTCTAAAGTGGTAGATGGCATAACGTCCGTAAAGTGACTCAGAGAGAGGCCTCACAAAAGAACAAACCGAACACTTACTTTCACATATTGCTCCAAACTTTCCCGCAGGACAAATGCATTCAAAGCCATCGATTTTGTCTTTACAGGTAGCGCCATCACTGCACGGGGACGAGTTGCAGTCGTTGATGTTGATTTTACAAACTGGTCCTGTGAAGCCGCGTGCACAAGAGCAAAGAAACCAGCCGTCTCCGTCTATGCACGTACCTCCATTATGACAAGGGTTGGATGCACAGTCGTCCTTACCTGAAATGAAAATTACCGTCACATAAGCATTGGAACACATCGTATTAAAAGGCTCCTGATATAATTTCCGTGTATCATACGTTAATGGTTTCGCTTTCAAACCATATACATTGGAACACGCTTTAGTAAACCATACCTTAATCTTTTCACTTCCAACAATGGCCCAATTTTAAAAAACCCAACTAAGCTTTACATAGCACTAAAAAACCAATAGGGCCATGTTTAAGTAGACATGACGAGATTTGGTTTGAATGGCCATACAATAAGACTTTTAACGCGCACTCGAAGCGGTAAACTTTACGTAACCAAAATGAAATCTGGAAGTCAAAGAGTTTTACTAAAAGAGAAGAAAGAATAGGGTACCCAAGAGCGTGAGTCTTTTATGCAAACGGGAAAACTTGCTATATGATTAACCCGACCAAGATCCACTACTAAATTAAATTCCGTGTTAATCAATTTGTTAATCGAAAATAGGGCAATGAAATTAATTAGCGACTTACTCTTTTCGCAGAGACTTCCTTCCCAGGCGTCTGAACACACGCATGAGAAACCAACGCCATCAGGTGAATTCAGACACGTTCCTTCGTTTTGACATGGGTTGGACGAGCAAGGCTTGGGTGCTACAAAATAAAACAGTTTATTAGACATGCGCTGTAGATAGAATCACATAAACGTGAAGTAAATCACTCCGCGCCGGGCTAATTAGAAAAGCCCAAAACCTCTTAATTCGCCCAACCACAAAGACAAACAAGGTGGAAAAAACCTCCACCTTTCCGTTTAAAAGTTTCCTCTGTTAATGAGCAAATTAGCGGTAAATGTAGATGCATTGATATCTCAGACGAATTGAGCGTTATTGACATGCCTTCGAGATCAGATAACTGAAGAAAAAGTTTTCCTAATTTCTTAAAGGAAAAGCCTTCCTAAGATACAATGCTAAGATAACCATCTAAGGTGCAATTTTAACGGCAAAGACTAGCCTAAACTCAATTACGAAAAGTGAAAGGAAATAGAGTAAGACACATTTCCACTTGCGTCAAACACAGGAAATAATTTTTCACAGGAAAAAATAAAAACGGCAAGCCTAATGAAACTGCGAGACTAGGCAAGAAAGTGACACGGTAAGGACGGAACCAGCTATTATTAATTACGGCAAATTCAATTACAAACGCTTAGCGTTTTTCCGTTGTTTTAAAGATAACGAGATCGAAAACTCGAACGCGGCACGTTTCCAGCAAAGCGTTCTTTTTTGTACCAAATGCGCGCGCGAAATTGGAAATAAAGGAATTCAATCGAGACGCCATAGCGGATTTTACAAAGGCACACACGATGCATGGACGGCAAGCTATTGAAGGCGCACACATGTTGTCGCGTTTGATTTACGATGCGATAACAATGGAGCCACAAAGTAATGAAAGCATTAACAGGTGTTCATTAGCAACACAAAAGATTTCTTGAATGAAAAAAATGGGCAGGTACGAGCTCACTAGTATTCTAACTGATCAAGAACTGTATAATGAATGCGTTTTCCACGGGTGGCTCTACTTCTCAATCAATAAAACGAGGCACAAATAGCAAAAAGGCGCAAAACACCACCAGTTATGAAAATATTACAATAAAATAATAACGACAATCAACTACGTCGAAAGAAAAACATCAACATCAATTAAACTAAAAAGAAAATAACAGCTCATGTCGTGTGGGATTGCGACTAACCTATTTGGCATGTATCTCCTGTAAATCCGTTCTGACATTCACACTGAAAACTGTCCCCAGTTTCTCTACAGAGACCTCCATTCGAACAGGGGCTGCCACTGCAGTGCGATGTTTCTGTTGAGACAAGCGTCATAAATTAAATTAGCGCACAATGGACGTTAATAAACAGTTTTTCTTTTCTTGCGACTTTTATAGTCGCCCGACCATGTCCCTGAATTTCCCTCTCTAGATATTTAATTACCACAGGCCATTCATTTCCAAACATAATAAAAAAAGTGAAACTCACTTGATCGGCAAAATTTTCCTTTCCAATTGCCTGGGCACTTACAGAGGAATCCGTTTACCAAGTCTGTACAGTTGCCTCCATTTCTACATGGATTGGAGCTACACTCGTTGATGTCTGAAAAAAAAAAAAGAAAATAAGTAATTATGGAAAACAAATGTTTCTACAAACCACAGAAAAAGAAAGGGCAACATTTTGTGCGGTTTCAGGCTGGTTTTCATGAGAGGGAAGCAAAGAAGGATTTTATTCAGCTCCATAACTTGGCTCTAGAGGGCAAAATGGTGCTTTCTTTACTCTTCGTTGTACTAGAACAGCGTGAAGACTAAGAAAAAGCATGATCGAAATTATAAGACTGAAAACCTTACAGGATTCAAGGCTTTAAAATCCCTTACACTGGAGAAAAAATACCGTAAAATTCCGAAAACAAGCCCGGAGGCGGGGGGTGGGGGGGAATATATTTTTCAAAGGCCCTTTTTAAGGGGCCTATTTTCGGAGGGGCTTATCTACGGAGAGAAATTTGCGTTTCAAAATCGATTGGGCTGGCCTTATAGTTGAAGGTAAATTTATTGTTTTTGCTTTGTTTTACTTTGTATTTGAGGGTAATATTCCAAGTACAACCCCCCGGGGGCTTATATCTGGAGGGGCGATTTAACGGAGGGTTTCTTGCGTTACCGGTTTGGGGGGCTTATATTTGGAGGGACTTATACATGGAGGGACTTATTTTGGGAATTTTACGGTAGCTCAGAAATTTTCAATAGCTGTGCTTACTCACTCTCAGAAGAAATATTCAGGATATATACTTACTTTGTGTGCAATTAGGCCCTTCCCAGCCATCAGCGCAAACGCAAGTGTACGACTCAATACCATCCAGACAACTTGCTCCATTCTTACAGCTGTGGTTACGACAGTTATCGATTTCTTAACACAAAAAATGCAAAAGTTAGGACACAAGCAATGAACTTCACAACACATAACCATCATAGTCACTGCAGTCGGCAGGCTGAACATCATATCATACTGGGAAGACTAACATGGAGAGATTTCATCACTTACTTTCATGGCAGTGGTTCCCTTTGTAATCTTTGGCGCATTTACAGCTGTAGTTTCCTGGAGAGAGTAATTCACATGTTCCGTGTGCGCCACAAATTCCGGAATCTCGCAAAATAGAAGTTCCATTGACTGTTGCGGGTTCCAAACAAGGATTGATCACTGTGTAAATAATAAAAATAATGCTCGTGATACAGTGCTTAGTTGTTCACTTTATCGTTTGTTAGATATTCCTACCAACCTACTTTAAAGTTAAATTAATTTTTCCTTATGATTCTTAAGGATAACTCTAGCAGGAAGCGTTCATCAGAACTAGAATGACTGGACAGATCCTGCTAATATTTTTTTTACAGCAAATTTGTTTTACCTTCTTCGCAAAGTCTTCCTCTTGTCGCTGTGGGACACACACAATGGAAGCTATTATTCTTGTCTACGCACCGACCACCATTAAGACAAGGACCAGACAGACACTCATCAATATTGACCTCACAGTGTACCCCACTGAATCCTGGCATACAAATACAGGATGCACTGAGTAAGCCATTAGAACATGTACCACCATTATCACAGGCAAAGTTATCACAGTAGTTAATCCTTGTGGCGCAGTCTTGACCAGTGAATCCAGCAGAACAAGAGCATGTATAACCGGCAAAGTCTAAGCTGTGACATGTTGCTCCATTATGGCAAGGGTTTGAGTCGCATGCATCAATCTTTGCTTCACATTTCTGTCCAGTAAAGCCAGGAGGGCAGCTACAGGTGAATGCACCAACACCCTGAATACAAGTTCCATTGTTGAAACAAGAATTACTTGTGCACACACTGATGGGAACATCACAGTCAGCTCCAGTAAACTCTGGCCTGAAAAAACACACAAAATAAAATTTTTGAGGATTGATTATTTTCCGACGCTTCAATATATGAATTAAAGGATTATTTCTTATCTCAAACTTAAATTGTACCCTGCACAGTAAAACCTTCAAACAACTGTTTAAAGATCTTAGCCACAAGAAACTAATTGAAAACAACCATATCTTTAAACTGTTTGGATAATTTTTCTGTTGTTTTTGCTTTGCTTGTCAATTTCTAAAGTTTAAACTTTATGCCCTCTTACCTGCACTGACACTGGTATCCATTAAGTCTATCCAAACATGTCCCTCCATTCCTACAGGGATTCAAGGGACCACAATCATTTATTCCGTGATCACAATTTACCCCGGTATATCCTGCAGCACACACACATTCATAGCCACCAGTTTTATCCACGCATGTTGCCAAGCTGTGACAAGGAGAACTCAAGCAAGCATTGGCATTAATCTGACAAGTAGATCCTGTATAACCTGATGGGCACACACACTTGAATCCACTGATGGCATCGACACAGGTTCCACCATTATGACATGTTGCATTCAGACATTCATTGATGTCGGTCTCACAGAATGCACCAGTGTAGCCAGCAGGGCAGACACAAGTCTCTGACCCATCGGCATGTTTAATGCATGCAGCTCCATGCTGGCAAGGATAAGGGTTACAAGTATTAGCAGTTGCCAAAACCGAACAATTTCTCCCAGTATATCCTGAACTGCATGTACATTTGTAGTCATTCAGTAGATCGGAGCAAGTTCCATGAACACACGGCGAGGGTTGGCATTCATTGACAGCAACTTGACATTCACTTCCTGTAAATCCAGTTTTACAAATACAAGTGTAGGTTTGAATCCCATCTACACAAACTCCACCATTTACACAGGGATTACTCTGACAATCGTCAATGTTGGTCTCACAATCCTTGCCCGTGAAGCCACTGGGACAGCTGCACTGGTAGTCATTCGCCAAGTCTGTGCATGTTCCTCCATTTCTGCACTGTCCAGCACAGTCATTTATACCTGAAAAATGTGCATAAAAAGAACAGTTAAGAAAACCGCTTATTTTGTATGACAAAATACAACGAGCACAATTATGGACACTCCCATAATTTGACCACATCTTTATAGGGGTCAGTTCTTCTGGCCACTAAGTTATCACACTGGAAAAACTCTTTATATCTCTACAGGGGGAGTACGATGCAAGCACCTTTACAATTCAGACATTTGGGTCAGTTTGTCTGTCTGTTTTCAAGATGTTTGACTGTAACAAAGAGTAAATAGACTGTTGTTCCACAAAAACACATCAAAGAAATCTGAGTCTTATCATTCATCATCAGGAGGTGACTTACAAGCTCAGTATTGTATTGCACTTACTTTCATTACAAAATCTTCCCTTCCAGCCTGCTTTGCATTCACAAGCAAAGTCATTGATCAGGTCAATGCACTTGCCATCATTAGAACATGGACTTGAAGCGCATTCATCAACATCTTCAACACAAATAAGATTTTACATGTAAATTAAAATCCAGATCAGGAGATACTACAACATAGAGCTTTGTTCCTTAAAAAAAAATAAGGACTGATCTATTCTTTAAGGAAAACTAGCATTTATAAGATCAGAAGTAGCTTGATAACTGATCAAAGATATTATTTTCACAGTTTAGTGAGAAAAGGGTACTGACCATGCTCACACATGTGGCCTGTCCATCCTGGGGGACATACACATTGATTGCCTTGACCACTGTTACGACAGACTCCACCATTCTGACAAGGTTGACTTGTACAATCTCTGTCTACAAAGGTGAGCAACATGAGATAAATAACTCACCATGGTTGTTAATCTACAATAAGATTTCACAGAAAATGCCCCTCCAATTTTTACCCTGAATAAGAGGCGCTTTATGAGCCAAGGGAAGCCAACATGGCCTGTTGTGCAAATCGCTAGGTGTGGGTAGGATATTTTTTCTCCTTGCCTTGCCCCGTGGTTAGTGAAAAATGCCGTGTTTGCCTCGCTTGGCTCATGAAGCACCAGTTATGAAGGCTACACAATTTTGCTACCTTTTACTACAAGGAACAGTGCAAAGAAGAAGGGGCCAACAAGAGAAACGTTGGGAGAATAATATCTCTGAGTGGACAGGGTTGAGGTTTTGCAACGCTTCAAGAGAAGCTGAAAATAAAATCAAATGGAGGGAAAGGGTTGCTTTGTCTGTGGCGCCCCAACGGTCACCACGACTACACAATAGGTGCAGGTACTTACTTATTTCACAAGTGGGCCCAGCCCAGCCAAGCGGACAAGTGCATCGGAAGTTATTAGTATCATTGTGGCACGTTCCATTGTTCTTGCAGGGTGATGAAGCACAAAAATCAATTGCTGCAAGAAAAATAGCCATTTGTTGAGTAATAAAAATACCATAACGTCAGCATCTACCGGTAAACAGTCATGGCAGTAGGGTATTATATAGAAAACCTTGACAGTGATATCACACTATAAAGCACTAACCAGTTTCACAGTTAACACCAGTGAATCCATCTTGGCAGTTGCACTTGTACCGCCCCGCTGCTACGTTGTAACATATACCTCCATTTTGGCAAGGTAAAGATCTGCACGAGTTGAGATCTGTTGATGGAGAAGCATAAACATGCTCAACACAACTGCACACATATCAGTAGAATAGACTACCACACTTGTACAACATATGTCTGCATGGCATTTAAAAAAGCAACGTAATGTAATGTTAGAGGATGGCTTCAGCATTCACAAGTATGTGTTATGCGCATTCACTAAGAGCATAGAGTACTGTTGACATGGACATACACCTCTACACGAACAGTGTAAAGTGACCTGCTGTTGAAATCTGTCTTTGATTTGAAATTGTTCAAATGAGCTTAAGTTTTATTTTTTAAGGATTCCGAACAATGTAGATATGCTACCTGCATCACACAGGGGACCTCCCCACTGAGAATCACAATTGCACTGCCACGGTTGACTACACGTCCCATGAACACACCCAGGATATACACGGCACTGGTCACATAGTTCCCCACCCCATCCTGGATTGCACCTAAAAACAAACAATGGTTAAATCACAGTTAACTAAATAATGGTAGGTGGAAAAACTACATGTAATAGAGGCAATCTGACAAATCGACAGCACATTATGGTGTTTCATAGAGTGGCAATGCTAATTGTTATGTACAGTAAACATTTTGACTTACAAGCATTCTCCAGGGACATTACAAGATCCATGGACTGGGTCGCAACCAGTTTTACAGATGGCTGTAAGAGAAGGAGTTACTCTTTAAGTTGAGCTTAAATCAGGCAGTCCAACGGGAAATTTCAGCCTTAGCTTAGCAATCAAATATCCTTAATATGGATACAAAAAAGTGACAGACATATCTGTACATTGTTTTGCAACTTGGAAATAACCTATTGACAGTAGTAAGTAAATCAAAACAGTTTCAAAAGTTCCACAAACCTATATCACAGCGATTTCCTCTCCAACCTGGCATACATACTTTCCTCCCATTCTCATCACAGGTGTAATGACCAAAACTGTCATTTCGGGGTTGACAAAGTATGTTGCACCGACTTCCATAATAGTTAGTATCACAGATCACTCGTATCTTGTAGCTGATGGTGGCAGCAGGACCATTGTACGTGTGCAATTCCCATGTCTTATTTGGAAATAATGTACCACGTTGAGTAGCTCTGTCTATTAGTTCACCATTACCTTGTTGAAAACGAAAAGAAGTTGGTATAATCTAGATTCATAAACCCCTTATACCCAAGAAGAGTTTAAAGGGGCTATTTCACGCTATTTGTCATCTTTTTGAAAAGCTACAATGTGTCTTCTTAATAAATTTTATGAGCTATTTTTGTTGATTAAGACTAGAAATGTATTCAGGAATTAAACCTGTTTCCTGTCATCATCTGTTGCTTTGGATGGACGTGGATTTAACCATAAAAAAGTTGGGTCAACCTTTTGAAATTTTAATGCCTTGCCAGCACAAATTGCCGAAAAAATTGTGTTTAGAGCTCCATGATGAAATTCTGGTACAACATCTTCTTCACAACTTTACAGGAGCATTTTGTGTATGGGTGAAGGTTTAAGTTATTGCTTCAGCACAAAATTGACCAAAAACAGCAATATCTTTGTAACATAGCCCCTTTAAATCAATATAGAAGCTTTCAGTGATCACAAAACATATATTTTTCAATTTAATATAACAGGATAAAATTTCAACAGATTGGAGGTAAACTAGTTGGCCAATTATGATAAAAAAAACTGCATGAAATTGAGCTTAAATACTTTTCAATACAAAAAAGCTTTTCAAAATAAAAGAAAAAATAAAATATTTTCTATCCAAAGACTCAGATGTTCCTGAAGCAAAAGTTAAGGTTGGGGAAATTTATCCGAGGATCTACAAAAAAATATGGAGATTTCATTTAACAGCTTTAGCAGCCAGCACACTTATAAATTATATCTTTTCTTTTTTTCAGTGAGCATTTCAGCTGAAATACTGTTGTCTAGTCTTGATGTTAATAAGAAATTAACAGACAATTTTCATTTACTTTTTTTCCCATAAATGGCGGGAATAAAACCAGGAATTTTTAAGAAATGAAAAAAAAAAAATTAAATATATCTCTGCCAACTGGCAAAAAAGGAACATATTCAAGTCAGGTACTAACACAACATTCTTTATTAAAAATTTAAAGAATAGCACCAAAGAAATATGGTTAGTGAAAATACTGAGAGCACTTTTACAAATTTGCATGACTGCAGTAATAGCAACAATATAATAATGCAGAAATCCATTATCGATGGCGTCAAACTTTAAAAGTACCCTGAGGTCATGCAACAAATTTAACAGTATTTTTAAAATGTTTTTTTGGGTAAAATCACTTACTTGAATTGTCTGCATCCCAAGCTTCTAAAACTAAGAAGTAAGTTGTCTGAAATCAAGAACAGCAGATAGTCTTTTAGTACAAAAATATCGCATGACTGACCAAAGTTTTGCCATGTACAATGACAGTACCTTGCATTCAGTAAATTTTAGTATAACAAAGGACATTCCCCATTATGTGTTTTTCATATGAAGAAAAGTTGAGCTGTAATGCTGGCCATCAAGAATTACCCCACAAGTTAACAACAGATTAAAGAAAGCAACGAAAGTGCTTAATTAAGTAACTTTCTGCAAACTTTTGGAAGAATAAAATCTGATTAATTCATGCAGTTTGAAATGTTTTTGCCAAGGAATAGGATCTGAAATCACATACCAAAAATTTTTGAAATTTTAAGGAAACAGCTGAACAAAATATATTGGCCCCTATTCAAAGGATTAATGCTTTCTTGGAAAATGATATCTTGGCTTTAAAGTGGCATTTGGGCATCTTTAAAAGCCATGGCATAACTCTGATATTGCCAGGCCAAAAAAACATAAATAAAATAAAGGAAAAATCGGTACAAGTCTTACTCCCTTACCCATAGAGATTGAAAAACTAATCAAATAGATGGTTAAAATAAAAACATTTGAAGCTGCACCATGAGAATAACAAATACTGTTTACTACTAGGAAGTTGGTTTTCTAATCCCTACTTGAGAGGAATATTATTTGCTTTTCTTAATTACAAAAAGGAAATTTGGCAAATTTTACAAACTGCTTGGAAGTTACAGCTACACAAGTTCTCACTTTCCTAAAGGTAATATTCTAGATAAGTTACATAAAGGATAATAACTCTTTTTACAAAATAATTTTGCTGGCATACTGCTGTTAAAGAATACTAGATTCTAATTTCCTTTCAATGAATTTACTGATTAAAAATTTAGTGTTTACCAATCTGCTATTTATCCTTTCACTTTATTTGGGCAAACAAAAAAATTTTACGTAACATGATTTTCAGTGCTCCTGCTGACTCAAAAGCCATTGACAACATTCAGTACATATTGAAAACTTGAAAGAAATGAATGAAGAAGCAAGAACACGATTGGAAAGTGGAGAATAATATTCCTCACAGCTCCACATTATTTTTAAAACTTAGAAAATAATATATATTTATAACAGGGAAGCATCTAACACAACACATACATATACATTATTAAATCTGGCAGAAATCAGGATCACAAACCAACAACCACTGTCATGCACCACTAACAATATAAATCATCTGCTTAGAAATTTCAGACATCAAAATAATAATAATAAAAATTCAAATAAAAAAGTATTTTGAAAATCTCTGCAGCTTTGGAAAAGGTCCTTTTTAATTCACACTCTGAGAAACTTTAAATTCAGCCAAACCAACAGAAATGTCCCTCCAAAATATATATAAAATCTTGGACAAGATAGCACAACTTATATAAAAAAGAAATTGTGAGTTTATTAAGAAGGTAATTGTGGTTTCAACTGAAGTATTAAGACAAACCTTTTAATAACTACGTGCAAGTAATAATATCTTGTGTACTATTCTGGCGACTACCTTAATTGAATCTACTAATAATGAAAAGAATGGCTCAACACCTGTGATATCAAACACTGCTTGCATTACCTTATCTTACCCCTGGAAAGTAATAAAATTATTTACAAAAGGGAGCTACTTTCCAACATCTTTCCATCATTTGAGATTAGTTGGTGCAGTCATAAAGAAAAACCTGACAATTTTTCTTTAAAACTGAAAACATAATAGTTTGCACAACAATCTAACACAACAGCCTTCCATCAAAATAATTATCAAAGACTATGCCAAATATATTAAGCAGCACAACACTCTGTTTCTGAGACACTATAAAATCTATTTGGCACAAGATCGGACTGAATTTGACAGCTGCATAAATTTGAGCTATGCAAATAAACAAAAGGATTGATTTTTGTATTTCCACAAACTATTTATAAGAGATAAGAGAGACTTTTATGGACTTTTCATAAATTTAACACTACCATCACTTGTGGTTTGTATAGAACTCATTCTTAATTTTCTATGCACCCTTGCTCGAGAGTAACATGACCACAGAGCTCTATAGGGACATCATGTGTAAGAATCACTTATCATCTTCAAAGGAAGACATATTTAAGGCTAATAAAATATTTTTCTTGCCACTACATAATACTAAATTTTTAGTCCTAAAATTTAAGGAGAAAAGAAAGCCAACTGAAGAAGCAATTAAAGAGAACAAAATATTGTTAGTCTTTTACCGATACTAATGACCCAACTTCCTTGTTTTTGTAAATAAGAAGTAAAAGAAAGGTCCTTTTCCCTAACTTACAGGATAACAAATGTTTAATTTCTTTAAAAGTGGCAGAAGATCTACAACCGGTTTTTTTTAAAATAAGGAAAATATTGAAAGTTGAAAAACTTCAAAGTCACAAATTTTAAGGAGTAATAAAATGGGCAAAAAAAATATCTGATGGAAAAACATTATGCACTAAATATGAAAGCAAACACGACATAAATTAGACTGTAAATGACTACTAAATCATTCAAAAGAGGGCATGGAAATACCAATTAAAGGATGAGAGGTATTTTTACAAAGTTTTGTGGAGATCTAGATCACTTCACGAAGGTAATTTGTGGTTAAATAGGTCAATCCAGCTTGTAGACACTTCAACTGAATGTGACTTATGAGACTTCGACCACAAGTGAAGAAAAAGAAGTTTTGATAAGTTTGAGAAATAATTTACCTTCAGTGAATTTTGATGTCATAATCTGGCACCATAAAGTCAAAGGGGGAACTAATAAAAACGCAACGTGACCCAAACAATGTAGAACTATTAATTAGCTGGAGTCTATAATTTTCTCTTTTCAAGCAATATAATCTTAATTTAATTCATTTGATATTTTTAACTTTAAAAACTATGAAGCATATAAGCTCTAAAGGTAAAGAATGAAAACAAAAGTGTTTTCATCAGTGCGGTCAAACAAGAATTCAAATATTCCAAAACATAATTCGGCACATGTGTCACTTTACATTCAACAATCGAAAAGGTGAAAACAAGCCAAGCGCCAAACAAGATCAACAAATTGCCACCGCAAAAGAAGGGAGGTTATCTCAGATCTTGTGCTTTAATATCGATCAAGAAGATCTCGAAAACAGAGATCAAATAACGCAGAGCTAAGCAAAGATCAACTCCCGGGGCAACGAGCTTTTTCTCTAGAGTATGCTATCGATTGAAAGTTTAATTGCACTGTAATATTTTCTCTAGTTGTGGGGAAACGTAAAGAGAATTATTTATCTTCCCAGCCGATGAACGTGGGAAATTTCTATGTAAACGGTATAGGGTTTCGTTTATTCCTGAAATCTACATACGCGAAAGTGACAACATGGGAATTTCGAAACACTTCGGTTTCGTATTGAATGAATCGCTTTTATGCCATGCGGCTTCAAGGTCAATTCTTTGATTTTTCTTTTTCCAGTCAGTGTAATCATTGTGTTGCAAATAAATCGTAACTCCTATTAATTAACATAATTCGCACAAAAGGCTGTCAAACGGAAGACACGTGGCCCCCGAAACTATACTACAAGTTACGATAAACAACGTTGAAAAATATACGAGGCGATGCACTCCAACGAGATATCTGCAGGTCAGGTTTTAGCTTTAATGCTGCCTGTTTAGATAGCTGCAGCTGTGTTTATAGAGATTTTTAGTTTCGACGTGGTTGTCGATTCTGTAAAATGAACGTGCTTCTGCCACTAGCTTCCGAGAGCCAATGAGAGAAATTTATTTCTTGAAATGCAAACTTTCGAGTAAAATGTGCGTTTGAGCTCGCGCTCAGAGCAGTGGTTCAACTGTTAAAAATCTATCTTTCGTAAAATCCTTTTGACCACTTTTTTAACTGAGCTGCTTTTTTTCGGGTTAAAAACGGCTGTTAGATGCGGTTACATTAAAATTTTATTATTGAAAAATATAGCCCATCTGCGTTAACGTCCGCATAAATTTAATCCAAATTATTACGCTGAATTTTCTAAGATTTTTAAAAATAACGGACCTGCTCTAACAGACCGATGGCAAATCTTTGATTTTTTAAGAAAAAGTTTAAGAACATAAACCATGGTTACTTACCAGCCATGAAAAAGTGAAGCGAATAGAAATCGGGTTGCGAAAACCATTATTCGACGATGAAGTGTTCGTAAAGGTGATCGAACTTCCTCCAAGAACAGCAGTTGTAGATTCACCAAATGTACATGGACCTGACACCGACGAAACATAGGACGTGTATTGCTTGAGACAAGCTTTGAAGAATGTATCACACTCGTCCAGGCACACACTTTGTCCACGATATATTGTGCGACTCCCATCACAACATCCACCGTCCAATTTCTCACCTTCAATGTTTTTTAACGAAACCAAATGTATTTCGAACGATCCTGAACCGATGATAGTCTGCGGAAAATAAAAAAAGTTAGACTTATAATCTGCGGAGCGAAGAAGGATAAAAATTTAGGATACAGCCATACACCTGACCAAAACACTAGAATTCACCACTTAGCACAAGGTCTGACCGTACCTGCACATGAATGAAGTGGCATAACGCAGCGAAAAACAAGTTTTTCACGAGTCGGCCCGAGGCCATTGCTAGAGTCTCTATCAAGAATTTTGTGAAGCCTTCGAGTGCGCGGCCGAAATTTCCTCCTCGTCTGCGTGCGACATGAACGGCCGCCCTGCGCGCCGATCCGATGCGAGCTCAACACACTTGCAAATCATTCAATTCTGAGTGATGTGAGAAGCCCGAGACAGATGTAAAGTTTTGTTGGTTGGGAGCGGTAATGCTAATGAGCATGCGTGGTTTAATTAGTGACGCAACATGATACCCATGGGTACACTTATCGCTTTTATAATAATGGTGTTGATTGGCCGAGACCAAGTGAAGAGTAAACAATTCCTAAAAGAGGAACAAATTTCTCAGCCCTGCAAAATCCTTTCAAGAGCAGACTGCTCAGGAGATCACTCGTAAAGATATCGTGTTTCGTCAAGTTGGTTCCTCGCAAAGGGTTTATCGCGCCAATTAACCCGAAGGATGATCAGCGCTTCTAAAGATAATCTCTGAAAGCTGCCGATCATTGATTTAAGAGACATCAGACAAATTTAATAAAGAGCAGTATTGAACTTCTTTAAGGGCTCAAGGAATTAAAGAAAATGGAAATCGGCTACGCGCAATTTCAATATCTAAAATCCACCTGCAGATCTCAGACAATTCCTAGATACCTGTGCCGAAACGCAATCATTGTCTGGGATTTTAATATGTTTTTACTTACAATCCGTAAGCGGCATGTGACAATGAGACGAAAGGAACTGAAATGTTTACAGGAAAAACCAAACTAAATACTGTGGTTTGCCTTTAACAAATGGTAATAAGCGGGGAAAAGTAAACAATAACTCGGCGCGTGCCACTAAGTAAAGAATATGAAACGCGCATCGCTTGTTTTCTCATCAATGGACGCCAAGCGAGGCTCTTGACGGAAACACACAAGGCTACACCTGTGATAAACAAGGCAAAGCCGATCAGGGAATAATCACTTTTTTTTCTTCTTGAAAAGGACTTGAACATTTGACCTCAATTCACTGTTTGACCACCCACAAAGAGCCAACTGAAAAACTATCTGGCTTGTCAAATCGCTGTATATAAACGACCGGCGCGCATGCAGCAACGGGTAAATTCGTATGTTAGGTACCCTCAGAACGTAGGAAGATCAACACAGCCTAAACTTGTCTGAAAGTGACGAGTTGATCTTGCGAAAACAGCGCATTTCGTAACAGATATCGCTTCTATAGCGCTAATGAGCCTGGCGCGTGTCAGAAATAGAATATGAATTTAATTGTTATTAATTACAAGCTGAAGAAAATGCTCTAAGATCAGTACTGAAACCTGGATACCACACAGACCATTGGTACTAGCAGAGCCGGAAAAGAATTCAGCAACCCGTTGCTGAGATAAAGGAATTCACGTACACCAGTAGCATAGGTGAAGTATCATATGAAACCAGCCAAGAGGATGTGAACAGAGGGAGTGCTTTTATTGAAGAAAACTTGAATCATCACTTTTCCTTCCGAAAACTCTGCAAACCAAACATTGTGGCACGGAAACAGAGGCTTTTGCGGTTTGAATTCATCTTAATACGCGCCATGCTAATTAACTCAACAAACAGACAACATTGAAGTGAATTGACCCGACCTTACAAATTTTTGTCATGGTCTGTGCGTTATCGCGTCTCTCATTGCTTCACAGAGCAGATCATAACGAGAGAGGAGGCTTCACAAGATGGATGAAAAATCGACGGTTTTGATAAACAGGACAGCTGCGGTATTGAAAGAGATTTTCTGATCTGATCATGTTTGCGGTGAAATCACGCTATCTAAGGATGAAGATTACGGACGGGCCAAGAAAAGTTTTAAATCACGCACTAATGCGATTTCTCTTCGATGGAAAAATACATCTTTGCGCTAAAACTTTCACTAAGAATTACCTCCGAATTTTGTTTTTTTCACGTTTCACGCTCTAATCGAGGATTTTCAGACTATCGTCACACTACTATTGCAAGAACCAGAAATGGCGGTACGCTTGCATTGTAGGTTCTCATCTTTTAAGCTTCTTAAGTTTAAAAAACTCATCACTCAAGAAAACCACACGTGCCACAGTCAAGTTCTAGCACGCGCCAAATTCTAGGATCTTTGTTGTAAGGGCGGGAAAAACACTTATCGTGCTTGTGAGACGTGCCTGCTTATAAATTAATCTTTATGGGCAATTTAGATGTGCGCAATCATAGCGAGGAAACTGTCGTTAATTCAAGTAAAAAACTTATGGCGATTCATACAGCTTTCCGGTTCCTCCAAGGCTTTCATTAAGAAGTGAAGTAAGGTTTGGCGTCATGATGTCGCCTCGACCAATAAGACGATTCAAAGCTATTAAATGAGAAGTCGCGGTAAAAAGTTTGCTATGACTTTCATATTGCGAAAAACGTTTCAAGACACAATAAACGATAACAAAGAGAAAAAAATAAAACAATTTTTAAGTAGCGTGGCCTTCTGAACACAAATTAGCATTTCCAGTTCATTAAGAGTTCGTTTAATTTGCATATTAAAGGAAAACATCAATACTAACACTTCCATTACTTCAGGAACAACAAACAAAAAGCTCGCACATGGCTCTGTAGAACAATGCTGTTTGAATAATGAAGTATGCCTCAAAGACACGCAAAGTCATCGTTCATCTTGGATATATCAGCCTAGCATTACACCATTAAGGCCTCTTCAATATCATTTCAATCACAACACGACAAAAGATAGGAAACGAGTGGAACTCAAGTAAAACTTGAGATAATTTTCAAGTCAACAAGACAAACGTAGCTTCGGTTTAGGACGCCGGCCTCGAGATAATAAAACGGCACGTGTTAACACACGCGACTTTTATCGGGAAGACGATAAACGTTATGGCTAGGGTTCACTTTTTAAACATTAGTTAGAAGAGAAACGTCGTATACGGAAGGCTAGCTTAAATACCAAGCGAATATCTCCTGACGTCGCGCGCTTGTTAAAATCAACAAAGCTTGCAGCGGAATGCGATGGGCGTACAACCACGTGCCACAGCTGTTCTAGAACAAAGAATCTAAGCGTGCCATTAAGTAGCGTGATATTGTCATGCAAAGAAGGCCTAGCGAACACCTGTGAAAGAGTGAATCCTTACAACATCACCATTGTTGCGAGGCAGCTTCATTAAAGCCACTAGCGTCAATTTCAAACAATAATAGTTTGCGTTTTCTTGCTTGAGCTTGCCCGCTTTGTACTCACTGAACTTCGCGCATATGCACACTGCCTAACTGCGGCAAACTTCTCTTTCTCCTCAAATAAACAGGACGTATAATAAACGACGGCAAGCGCTAACCTGCAGTCAGGCGTTCTTTCTCATGGCAGGTTAAAAGACGCGTTTGTACTTGCGATGAACTAAAATTGTTTAAGTGAAAATTTCAACATAAAGTGAATTAACTCATTAAAGTGTTCACAAAGAATTTCTACACCAATTCTAATAATATGTTTGAGGTCAAAATAGATCCTTCGGGCGGAGCGGCAGGTGTGAGTAGAAGAGTGCCTCTTGATCATTGGAGAGGCAATTAAACTTGCACTGAAAATTATCCAAGCGTTTAATAAGAAAACTACCGCAGTTAGAATTGATACAACATATTTAAAGGTCACAGCAGACTATCAATGAGTTAAATGACCACTTAACAACTCGTTTAAATGAACAACTGTTGATCCTCAACAAGCCGCGTGCCAAAGCAGGGCGCACAAAAGAATTCCGATACTTGACCGACCGTAACGGCAGGTGTACATAAAAAACTCCGCGGTGAGTGTAAGAAAATAACATCTTATCTTGCAATATTGAAAAGGGAATAACAATTGGTCTTGAAACAGCGACATAAAACTAGATGAAATGGCGACAAACGACACAAAGATGGGTTAAATAACAACAGGGAAATGGCCTACTCCTCAAAATGCGAAAGAACCGTATTTGAAATTCAGACCATGGAGATAACTACCCTCCCCTCCCCCCCACCTAAGAGGGACTCATTGAAGAAAATTCGGATCACGGGAACAGAAGAAAATATTTTCGATGATAAGCCGAGTATCATGAAAGATAAATAAAATAATACGTACAACTGTTTACAGAGAGTCAGCGGAGTCATGTTAAAGCAGTTTAAACTACTCAGTTTGTAGGAAATCCTAAGTCATGATATTCAAATGAAACTTCTACGGCATTGGATCTACATATCTGGTTGCCATTTGTTCTTCGGTATTTTACAAAACACAACTTGAGTTTTATTTCCAAATATTGGTTTGGGGTTAAGGTCAAAATCGCACAAAAGAATTCCAATACTATTTTTGTTCTGTATCATCACGAGGACAGCTGTACAAATTCCCTTTGACACATGCTGAGATGAACTTCGAGAGCGATTATGAAGATTCGAGATGTACTTCTGTAATAAAGCAAAGATAACCAGATGCGTGATAAACGAAACTAGTTTACTCCAGAAAGATCGGCACTAGGGACATGCAAAACACATAAAGAGAGATCGCTTTGCTTGTGTTTTTTGTTATTATATTGTCTTACCTATTATTATTTTTCATTTAACATGTGCGCATTTTGTTTTTGTTTTTTTTTGCTTAAAATAGTTATTCCTGCGTATTAGATATTCCACTTTAAATTAGTACTCCTTGTAATAAATTTAAATCATTAATAATAAAATTGTGATGATATATTTGTTTGTACGAAGAAAACTACAAAACCTTTGCAAAGGAAAAAAAAGAAAAATAAAAAATAAAAAATTTCTCCAGCAAGATGGCGGTCTTAAAGAACAACCTTAGTACGAAGGCATCATGGGTATAACAGTCACAGACCACCCAGCAAGTACATTGCACTTCCAACGCGCGAATCTGTGGCCGGTTTAAAACCCTGCGGTGTGACCATTTAAAAGAATCCTTTTCAACAGTATTTTCTCATTGTACTATCTTCGTTGCTATCTTAACAGGCCCTAACTTTCGAGCCTGTGTGAGAAATCCTATGGTGTAACAAAGTAAATG